GCAGAGTTGGTGATGGCTGGATCTCAAGTATCACTTTGGTTTTCAGTCAGACTCAGAATATTGTTTTCCATCTATTTTAGTTTTATTTTTGTGTCTTCAGCAATGTGCTCCTGAATTTCTCATTTAAATTTAGTTTCTTTCTTTCCCCTCTGCCAACAAAATTGGCATTTCTTTCGTGTCTTTCCTGCATCTTTTTCTAAGTATGGTATTCTTTTTTTGTTTCTTTGTAAAAAATTTTGTATAAAAACGCTGAAGGAAAATAATGCTTCTACTTTCTCTGCATTCTATACACATCTCTCATATTATTTACTTTCACACAACAAGTCAGTCTTTGTCATATGGAGATGATGGTCTACGGGGTGACAAAATTTACTATTGTTTATTTTTGCTGTGTACAATAATTAAACACTCCCTATACATCAAGAACCTGAGTTTCTCCACATACATATCCACACACATACTGTCAGTATGAATTGTATCAAACTCAACCATTCCTCTTACCTTAATTGCACTCCATTTGATTCAATACTTACTTTTCATTAAACATAACTAGGAGTATCACACTAGTGTACCCAGATGCTATTGATCATCATCTTAGATCCAGTAACTGCCACACAAATGCAGTAAGAAAGACTTTTACATATAATAGTAGGAATTTTCTTTATATCGATCAGGCCATACTATTTGTCCACCTAACATTTTGCTACCTATTCCGATAGACAATTTTCCAGAGACCATTTCTATCACCTTTTAGCTGATTCTAAAGTGGAAGACTAAGTATTGAACCTGGGACTTTCTGCATAGTCTCCCCTGTAAACAAAGTTCACATGTTAGCAGTGTGCATTTGGATATACACCTTTGTCTTTATCATATTAATCATATTGAAATGGCACATGAGAGACCAAAAGGATCATCTCAAGATCCTTAAAACTACTGGCCATGTTGATTAGGGCTTATGGCTATTCCAAGTTCAAAATATCTGATGTATATACTGTAGTTACTCCTAAATTGGTGAGATGTACAACCACATTTAGGGCCATGGGTTGCTACACACAATGAGGTCTATGTTCATTGAAAAATAAAAATTCAAATGATGTCATAACAATATTACATCTTCAATATATAACTTTCTTTCCAGCCAGAACATCTTTCTCAGAATGGTATTCCACTCTTTAAATTAGGGAGTAGAGGTAGTTATGAATTGTTATTCAAATGTCAAATTATTCAGAAGGCAAGAGACATAACACTCTTAGAAACAAGTACAGGCTTTATTCCTCCTCCTACAGCCACATAACATTTTTTTTTACTTTTTACCCAACTACTTGAAGTCAAGTTCAAGTATAGAATCATAGAATCATAGAGTTGGAAGAGACCTCGTGGTCCATCCAGTCCAACCCCCTGCCAAAAAGCAGGAAAATCATATTCAAAGCACCCCCCCCCAACAGAAGTAAACATTTCTGCTATTTTCAATTTTTTAGTAATTTATCACGCACCACATATCATGAAATGAACTAAGCCTTGACTTCAGCATTTATTCCTATCTTGCAGATTTTTCCTCTTTAAAACCTTTCCATTCCTTTGCGACTTTTTCTGACAACATTATTAGAGCATAAAAGAAAATGCAAACCTTCACTTCATGCCATTCTAGATGCAATATACTCCAAGGTGCCATTTGACAATATGACAAACTACAAACTATATGACAAAAAAAGGGAAAGCCAACCATGTGATGATCTACGGCCATGATCCTTCACTACAGTAGTAGACCATAAACTTCTTCCAGGAATAGCTACATGTCTTTCCCCATTCTGAACACTTCATCTACCTGTTTGTTTTACCTCAGTATCTCCCCATAGCCATTTAGTAGTCATAAGGAAGTTGGGGAGGAGAAGACAAGGATCAGCAAGGCACCTAGTCTCCAGCTCCATTTCTACACTCATTGCTGAGAAGGCATCATAGCTTTCTGGAGAATGACTTTTTTTCTGTGAGTGGCTGCAAAACAAATTGCCTTGGCCGATGGCTGCCCAGCTGCTCCTCATCCTCTCTCTGTCTTTTCCTGTCTACGAAATGGCCATGGAGGCAAGAAACAGGCAGGAAATGGCTGGGGAGTTGTAGTGGATGAAAGTGCTGAAGACCTCCATTCACCATGCCCACCTGAGCACAGGTGAATGCTTAGTTATACCTGCATAGATCACTAACAAAATGCCAGACTATGTTTCTCCTTTTCTGTTCAGAAATGGCCACCCTTATATATGATCAACTTAAAAAAAAAAACCCCGGAAATCTCTGCTGGCCCCATATGCTTCAAACTGAAAGGTGTACTTTATTGTAGTTCTTACTGCAACAGAAGCAAAGAGAGGTAAGTTCCTTTTTATCAAAGAAAGAAAGAAATACTACCTATTGTGCCTTTGATAAACAAATAAAACAGGACAAATGAATTCGTGTAGGCTTTTATGCATCTGATCCAATAAGAGTCACCAGCTTTCCCCCCCATGTAATATATACAAAGTTTCCTTAAAGAAATGATGCTGAAAGCAACAAAACAATTTGTTGAATAAAAAATAACACAAGATACTCTGTATATGGTATTATAGCAAAAGAGGGATAGATAGATAGTACATTTCTACTGAATCAGCATGCGTGCAGCTCTCCTCGTTCGTAGAGATTTGCCTGCAGCATCATCATGAATATTCTGAAGAATGTAAAATCTGACAGAAGAAACTACGTGCAGCGTTTCTCAGCCCTTTTCTTCACACTTGGGACTGGCTGCAAGGGTATGCACACTGCGTTTGCAAAGGCTTAGCACCAGCCTTTTCAAAATCCTTACTGGATCAGATGAACAAGGGTGATATGTTTTCCCCCTTGTAATTGTTATGCCCAATTGGCCAGAGGATTAGTGAAATGCAAGCCGATTTCCTGCATTTAATTGTTTCACTGGAAGGAGAGAGAGAGAGAGAAAATAACACGTTGAGATGCTAAGGGGCTTCCGTGTGTAAGACTCTTTTGTATTATGACTGTGCTCCTTGTATCATTCAATCTTTCAGATTACGTGTTGGTGCTTCAGGGCTGCAATATGAGAATACTTCATCACATGTAATTTCTTTGAGCCATGCAAACTGTACATGACATGTTGGAAACGGAATGCTAGCATGCAATCAACAATTATCTTTGCTAGCCCAAGGTATAACAGAACTGGTGTTTTTGTTTTTATAGAGAGTCACTTGATTCCGCTTCTAAACATTTGCAACTAGCTAGGCCAAAAGCCCTCTTTAAAAAAAACAAAACCTGAAATTCTGCAGGAAAAAAATCTTGTTGCTAAGGCAGATTCCCTATTCACTTTCTTTAAGCAAAATGATTAAAAAAAATCATAATTCTATGAAAATTGTTGCTAAGAAAATGAAATCACTGATTAAAAAACTATTTTTATAGGGAATCAGCTCCAATGTTCAAGATTTTCTCCTAATAAAAGGTTGGTTTTGTTAAGAGCAGGTAACTCTTCCTTTTACATAAATACTTTCCTTTGTCTTTTCCATCATAATTCTCCTGTGTGTTTTCTCTAACCTTGCATTTCCTGTCATAACTTTAAGCTTCCTACTTTCAGATTCTGAAGGGGGAGGGGAGCCACAGTCCTTTTTCAGGGAAGTCTGGATAAAATCATGCTACGTTTTAGAAATGACACAAACCAGATATTACTCCTTTAAAATATTTTATGGTCCTGATTTCCAAGTATCACATCTAATTTACAAGTGACTTGTTCAGTATCTTTAATGTACAGTTGCCCCTCTACATTTGTGGTTTTGGCTTTTGTGGATCTGATTTAAAATATTCTAATCATGATGTCCTCCAGCGTGATTCTATGGACAACTTCCTTCAGTCATGTTGGAGGATTTACAAACAAAGAACACCTCTCTAAAAATCTCTAGGTCTTCAAATGTGATTCTGTGTTCAGCTTCTGACAGAAGTTGATCATTGAGTCATGATGGAAGACCTAGAAATTTCTAGAGAAATGTTCTCTCTAATTAAAAAAAATTGATATTTACCTTCTCGGGGCTCCTATGCCCCTAACCACAGCAAATGTGGAGGGCTCGTTATATTAATTTTGCAGGGAGCATAAACAAAGAGCCACCTTTGAAGAGTCTTAACTACAGATGTTGTCCATTTATAGTTTATATATGGAGCATCCTCTACCTTCAATAAAATGGGTGACACCTGGGTCTATAAACTGTGTGAAAAGAATGGGAGTGTGGAGCAGTGGATCAATTCATGGTACATTAACTTAACATAGGTGCATACATTTTCTTTACTCAGAAACATGTGGTGCTTCAGGATTTTCATTTGGAGCATTGGAAATGGTGGTGGTGGTGATGGATGCATGATAAGGAGATGAAAAGTGTCCATCTTTCATTTTCAACCAGACAGGTATAATTAAATAGAGCTTTCTATTGAAAAAATATATATGAAATATTATGTAATTATTTAAGTAATTAAAAATAACATTTAATTGGCAACTTCATACATATTTACCTGGAAGTAAGTCCCACTGAACTCAGCAGGCCTTACTTCAAAGCAATCATGTGCACGACTGCACAGCCAGTTGCCATATTACCCTTTTAAAGGTGGCATATTGGCACAGTCACCTGCAAAATGGCAGCTTATAAACTGCTTTCACCATACCAAGAAAGTTAATGATACATAAAATAAATTTCAGCAATGTGGCTAGAATGAGTTTAAGACAAGAAACATTTGATTATCAATGAATATATTGCTGTATATCAACTATTGTCACAATTCTTTGTTTGTAAAAAGTTTATCTGGAACCATACATTGCCAAGATCAAGTCAAAGTAGACAGAACATTCTTAAGCTATTTAATAGTTAGTGAAGTGAAATGGGTATTTATATGGAAGATGTTCTTTTAAGCTTATGTCCTCCAAATATCATCTTTGAAATGGCTTTCAGACACAAAGTAAAATGTAACACTCTTCAAGGAGTCCCACTTACTCCACATGTCTCATTCTGTGTCTGCATGGGGTTAGCCTTTGGCTCCATGTCTTGCCGTTTTTGGTTCTGCTTAAGTTGGTTCAAGGATGGTTTTGCTTGTACAGCTCCCACAGTTTTGCTTGTCCATTGATCCACCAATTTGTGGAGATCGTCCGTGAAAGTTCCTTTTTTGTTGTTACTGTTGTTGGCTTGTACCTGAACCTGTAGCGTCGTTTGTGGTAGAGGATCTGGATATGCTACAAGACTGTTTGTTGAGGATCCTAAGACATCACAGAAAGATAAGAATCAGCCGTGTACATAAAAATATCATTCTACTTTTCTCTTTTGGTCAAACTTCATTTTACAGCATTTCCAAAACCACAAGTGACTGTTTTTCATCTAGCTGCTTTCTCTGAAGAACGTTTTTGCTCCAAAAATAGTCTATTATATGACAGACATTCTACTGGTAGGGATGATTAAAAAATAATTTTACACATATTATCATAAATCTCATAATAATTGGACATTTGCTTTTATACAGTCCCACTGGAATAAAAACAGATATGGAAAAAATCTGAAATTCAAATATAGATTGTCACAAAGGGCTTATTTGTCTTTTGCAGTTTTAACATTGGTTTCCACTTGGACTCTGGAGGTATACTGTTCAAGTTGTTATCCTATGCACACCTACCTGAAAATAAGAAATTAAATTTCAGAGATTTTTTCAAGAGCCGTATTCCAGTTGTGGGAAGCGCCAGTGATGTAAATATTGGGGGGAGGGTGATGAAGCGATTATTCCCCAAATAAGAATTCTGCCCCTCCTATATGAACTTTTCTTTTAATCCCCACATTTCTAGCATTGCAGTAATTTGAAAAATTTAGGGAAAAAAACGTTTGGGCATCAAAGAAGTGAAGTAGGCAAGGTGACCAGAGGAATGCAAATACAGCATTTGATCTTTTTGTTGTTCATATTAGAGATGCTATCCATGAAAAAACAACACCCCCGCCCCCCAATGAATGTTTACAGGAAAATGTGTCCTTTAAAATGGCCAAATATGTGAACTTAGTCCGGACAAAGAAAAACACTCTTAACCTGTCTGGTGATAAGAATTAAACTCAAATGTGAAGTCCATGACATCCGAGTGTGGAGAAGAGCAATCCACAGACCATCTATTACAATGCAGCCTGAGCCCTGCCACATGCACAATGGAGGGCCTTATAGCAACACCAGAGGCACTCCAAGTGGCCAGCTACTTGTCAAAGGACATTTAATATAATGCCAAGTTTTCACACTTTGTGTTTTCTTTTTGTTGTTGTTTGCTTTTTAAATATCTTACAACTGTACCCTTGGTTCACTCCTGATATGATAAATAATAAATAACTCAAAAGTATTTTGTATGTTTTTATTACTAATCCAACAATTTTATCTTAATTATGCCTGAATATGATACTAGTACACTTTTGTTGGTTGCATACATAAGCCAGGTTACCTAATGCAGAATAAACATGCACTTGAAGTAAACACAATAAATATAAGAGTTTTAGGTGTGAATGATTTTCAATGTATCATTCTCTCATATGCTAGAAATTTGGGGACAGAAAGAAGATTTCACTGGAGGACAGGATCTGAGTTGGAAGGGCAAGGCTCTCATTTTTCCTTTACCTGGTAGATACAACAAAAGGGAGGAACCAAAAATGCATATCTTTGTTTAAAGATATTACTGCTAGTGACTAAAATGTAGGGGAGGCATTGAATTATTTTAGTATAGGGGAAAATTAAAAAGCTGGGAAATCAACCAATGATAGCGCAATAAGGTTGATTTCATGGGAAACTGAGAAACCCAAGAAGTCTGCCTGGAACAGCAGAAAGACCAGTTAAGGCCCAGGACTTCATATTCTCCCAACCTGTTCTAAAGGAAATCATAGCAAAATTGTATCTTCATTCCTCCAAATGTTCCTGCTCTTGTTGAAATCCTAAGCTTCTAATTCCACTCTCCTGAGTTTAAAGGGAGAGTAAATAGTTCACAAGAAAAAAAGAACCCCCTAGAGGCACAACTAGTAGTAATTACAGAAGACCATGTTATGAAAGATTAGGAACATGATATCTGAATGCAGCCCATATAGCTTTAATATGGGATATATTGAAAACTAGGACTACCAATGTCGAAATAATTACTCAGAACATGTTTTGAGTCAAAGTGATAAAATCAATGTCAAAACATGAGTTGCTATAGAGCAACATTAATTGGCTTGGGAATCTTTTAAAAAAATGAAAAAAATGACAGTTAATTTCAAAGTGATCAACATTTGAAGCAAAAAAGTTCAAAGCTGTGGTGAAATTACATTATTTATGATGAGCAAATGTAATAAAATCTTACTTCAATTGCCATGAATTTTTTAAGATAATGATGTGCACAATTACTGTATACATTTATGAGTGCTTTTTTAATGAATTCACTCACACCGTCTTTTTCAAACCTGTTGCACACCCAAAATAAGTGAGTTCTTATGCTATGTTGGAAAAATCAACGAATCAGTGAAAAGTTAAGTGCCCCCTCCCCTTAAACCTGAACTCCTATTCAGTGTCTCAATAGGTGTGAGGAAGTGTTACATTGTATTAGCCAACCAGGCACAAAACAGCATTGTGAAGAAGCAATGTTAATTAAAAGATTAGAGAGCTCACAACTCAGCACTGTATGATAAACACACATGTACATACTGAAAATACACCGATCTTGCAACAGGCATGCATCCAAAAGCAGCACTGGCATGCAAAGCTACCAAAGAGATACCTGCTCTTAGTTCATATGCAGTCTAATTTAAATACCATTACTAATGCAGTGTCTCCTGTTTAAACAAACCACTACATTATATTTAAATAAAGCAGCCCATGCTCAGAAAGAAATATCAAAAAGCCAAAAAACAAAAGAGAGAGGGATAGTTACTACTACTGTGATCTTTGCCTAGACATAGTCGTTTCAAGGTGGACCCTACAAGGTAAAAATGATACAAGACATACAGAGTTAGGCAAGACTAAAAAGGGGGAAATAAAGAAAAGTCTGATGGAAAATCTTCTGCATTTTTAAACAATGAAAAAGTAATCATTATGCAAGAAGGAACAGACAGAAAGTCAGCAGTTCAAGTTGAAAAGGAGAAATAATTGGGCAGCTCAAAGTCTGTAGATGTTTGCTACTATAAAAATAAGTGTTATTCAGTCTTTCTTTGAGTGATGCATTTTTTTATAAATAGGAAGATTTTTTATTGCTGTCGAGTAAATATTATTGTTGACTTTCAACAAATAAGAAAATCAACTCTACATTCAAAGTACTTCTATTTTTATTCTATTTGTGTGGCAAGCTCTATTCATCTGGTAAGGCAATTATTGATTACAAATAATTTAAGGCACAAATTAGACTAGGGTGATTGCAGACAAATTTCAATTACACTTTTTTTTACAAGTCCATAAACCTCTGTAGGACTTACAACTTTACTCATATCACTCCTTATGAGTGGTGTTTCATTTCTTCTTTTGCCAACTAAAGTTGATTGGTGATATACACCACAATATATTAATATATTTAGATATAGCCTTTACCCTATTTTTCTTAAATGCTTAAGAAATCAACAAATAGAACACAAGTAAGTTTTCATCCAACACTGATAGATAGGATTTTGTTATCTAAATTTGGAAAACCACAAAGGTCAATGATGTCAGAGTGCTTGAATCTGATAATTGTTCCCACAAGATGTCAAACTTCCTTAAATGTTTTATCTCACTAAAGCCCCACAGGACAAAGTTGTTTACTATATGTTTCTTTGTGTTATTCAATTTTAATCAGCATTTTATTATAATACCATGAAGCCATCCAAGCAGCTAGAAATAGCAGAATCTGTATGTTAAGAACATATTGTGTTTTGTGCCTGATAAGGAGCAAAATATTGGACCTAGAACTCCACCAAATAGTGATTTTACTTGTGCTGTCTAAGACGGGAGTCAAATGAAGAAATAATCTGCATGTTAGAGGCTTTGTTAGGGCTCATCCAGACAGGCACAAAAACTGGGACCTATCTCTGTTTTAACGGAGGCACCTTTGGTAAAACTGAATTAATTCAGAACAAAACAGTTTCCCTGCCTTGTTCTGAATTAAACATCTGATAAGATCCGGATCTTAACAGAGGTGGCCCCTGTGTGGATTGGGTCTGGGGACCATGTCACATGATCCCTGGACCCAGTCAACACAGCCATCTTGGTTTTTCGGGCTCCAGGAGTCTGAAAAACTGAGAGGGCAGCTACCCCAACCCTCAAAATAACTCTTTAAAATAAAACAAAACATATCTGGCCGCCATTATGTCCCTCCTCTCACCCTCCTGGAATGAGGAAATGACACACCAGGAGATGGGGGGCCCAAGGAGGGATTTTTCTCCTTGCCCACTCTCACCACCTGGTCTCTTGGCACACCATTTCCTCATGTCAGGAGGGTGTGAGGAAGAACATAATGGTGGTTTTTTTTTATTTTAAGGGGTTATTTTGGGGGGCTTCATGCTGGCAGCATGCCATACTGATTGTTATCAGGATGGCATGTAGTCATCTTCCCCAGGAGCACCTGGGTTTGGGGTGGCTTGTGAGGACTAAAATCCACACTGAAACACATTTTTTAAGCCCACTTTGGTGCGGGTTTTACTCCGGTCTGGAAGCAGCCTTAGATATTTCCCCAAACCCTGCAGTGAAAAAGTGCTTTACATTATTATGTGCAGAATATTTCTTCTAAGTAAATGTGATATAGCCTGAATCAGGTATTAATATTTTGAGTGAGTTCTGAAAATTCTTATTTTCTGGTAAGTAATTTCTGAATGGACTGCTTGGCTTGGACCCTTTCCTGAACTGTTCAAACAGGGGTCAAAGTAATTAATAGGATACTCTCTTCAAGTCCATTCTCGGGAGATCTTATGGACATTTTCCTCATCTACCCTTGTTGACTAGATGCACATTCTATATATAATCTATAGGGCAAAGAGTGTGTCTATATAGCAGTAACTGCAAATCTGCACTGGTTCAACGTAGAAACAGGATAAATAACTATATTAGTAGAAATAGAAATTTGTCAAGTGTGAATATAACTAGGTTATAAAGTTCAGGTTTTGTGAAAGCTGTATATATTATTTTTTCTCAGAATTATGTGATTTCAATGTACTACTTTGATACAACTTTAAAAGGCATCTGGTATCTTTTTAAAATACCTATGGGTCTTTTTATGTCCATATATTGGTTTAACTTTACAATTTTGTATATTCAGATGACTTAGAGAACTTTTTGTTTGCTTGTATTGTGTTTTTAAACATTTGTATTACCCCCTTTATTCATCTATATATTAAATTAAACTATATTTGACAGGACTCTCTTTCCATGGTTTATTTTTGTACCATACCTAAAGCAATGAATTGTGATATATAAAATCATCACCAACACCATCACCTATAACCAGCAATGGGGAGCACAAGTCAATATTTTTGATGATTGCTCATAAATTATCCAGTATTTCAACTTAAAAAATAGTTTTAACAGTGCATAAGAGCAACAGGTTAGATCAGAGTTTTAGGGGCAAGGTCTGAAAGGTAGCATTCAGACCTACTAAAATCTTCTAGTGAATGTTATGGTGAATATTTATACCTGTATAAGAGAACTATATTTTTGCCACAAGTGTGTATGACTTTTTGTGTAGTACACTTTTATGATTAAAATGCGAAGCAGCCACAGAAGTACAGAGAAAAGGGGGAATTCCTGTTCAGGAGAGTAAAGGAAAGGAAGAAGGAAAAGTTGTTATTGAACAACAGACCGCTGTCTTAAGACTTTGTGAGAGTTTAGGAGCCCTTCCTCCCAATGCCTACACACCAACATCCACAAAGGGAGGCACAAGATACTTGTCATTCATTTTAAAGGAAAGAAGGAATGATCATAGTCTGTTCTGAAACACCTCTCTAGTGTTACAGATGTAATTCCTTCATAACCCTTCTTGAATCTCTCTGGTATTCCCTTAGTGGCCTCTAATCCAAATACTAGCCCGATCCTGAAATCAGATGAAGACTATACAAATGCCAACAGAATAAAGCATTTGAGATCTAGACTATGGAGAAGACTATGTTAATTTTGAAGTATTTCATAATTTTGCTTTGACAATTTTCTTAACTTTTTCTTAGACCCCTTCTACACTGTCATATAATCCAAATTATCAAAGCAGATAATCCATATTATCTGCTTTGAATTGGATTATATAAGTCTACACTACCATATAATCCAGTTCAAAGCAAAGAATCTGGATTTTATATGGCAGTGTAGAAGAGGTCTTGAACTACACGGGTGTTGAAGTGTGGGATATACGTCCCATAAATAGTTTTTTCCCAGAATTTCCAAGGTGCAAGATCTGTATCATCCACTTGGAAAAACCAGGGACAATCTTGTTTTGTTTTCCAATGGCCCAATTGTAATAGGCAACAGTAACTGGTTGGTAAGAAATAACCCCGAGAGTCACCTTTGTGGTAAGCGTGTAAGTGATCAGAATAATAACAAATTACTCCTTTAAAAAAAGTAATAGTTCACATTGTGTTCTAGGTTCATGGTGGATATCTGTGCTAGTAACTGATAGGTGACCAGCATTTAAAGTCATCACTATACCCACAGCAACAAAATATGGCTGCTGTTTATTACATTTGGCTTGACTGGATTTTGGTTTTGTTTTTCGTTTTGGGTATATATAGCATGAGACTTTGGCCAAAACAACATTCTTCTATTTTTGTCAAGACAAATCTAATGCTCACTCAATGATGAAAACATCCAATTAAACATATGTTGCTTCTCTCGCTTTTAAGTTGCTTGGCTATTTGTGAGTACAGAAGAAATTACTGCCTCCATATTGAAACAAGAATACATACAGAATATAGCACGAGTTTTATCTTAGGATCTTGGAACTATTGATAATAATGAATATAATTGATTCTGCACTAACATGGATATTTTGTCAGTTTTCAGCAGACCTTTTTGTTAAGAGTTTAGTGGAGTTTAAAAACCAATAAAAAGGGGAATTATTTGGAAACCAGGGAGGATGCATTTTGAGTAGTCTTGTGCCTTTGATCTGTACCACCTCAATAATGATAAAAATGCTGAATTCCAATGATAAAAGTTGGATACAAATGAAAATGGAGATCAGCTGAATGTTTTGTTACAGAAATGTTGTCCCTATTTTGGCATTACATGTAATTGTATCCTAAAGTACATTTTTAGAATTTTTTTTATTGTACTAGAAACTCTATTTGCCTCATAATAAATAACTGCTTTTGAAATAATTATCTCAGAGTTGGTTGAACTGCCAATTGCAGGAATAATACAATAAAGGAAATATCTATTTGTATTTAGTTACAGTTATATGAAATCATCCTGGCCATTGTATCAATCAACCAGGCATCAAAGATTGTAACTTCTGCAAATTTATTCTGTGCTTTAATGAACTGCTTCTTGACTTCATCTCTGAGGTCACATAAGGTCATAATAAAAACAACCGAGTAAAGTGCTCCAACTAGGTGGCTTTATCATAAAGATATACTATGATTTGTGAGAAGTAACCCACTTTCATTTAGCCTAATTTACTTTAAGAAAATTGAAGAAACTGAAATGATACAATATGATGGCAAAAATACTGCCTAGAGAAGACGATATTAAAGAACTAGCAGGAGCATTTCTCAGCATTTCCACATGCAAGGGATAGAAAAAAATAACAAATAATAACAATAATAATAATAATAATAAAGTGGATATAAACAGTACTGTATATTATTTGAATACAGCCCTTGTGCGGATGTTATACCCTTTAGTGACCTTCTAGAATTGTATCAGCTTGCTACATGCATGTCTTCATAGTCCAAACATGTGTGAAAGAGACCATTCGTCTACAGTCGGTTGGATTTCGTTTTGATATCGCTGGAACCAGGACAGCAGACATTTATAATTGCCACATTGTAAATTAAAAATTACATAAAATATAAAGTCACATAAAGATATGTCCAGGGCAAAATTTACTATAAGGTTTTAGAATAAATTATGAGATCTTCCACACATGCTTTTGGTACCCAGGCATGAGCCAAAAGCAGTGCACAAAAGCTTTCCATATGAAATCAAAGAAAATAAATAAAGTGTGTCAATGATTATTAACTTTTAAAAAAGGAAATCAAAGGGACTGTCTAGAAAAAAAGGAGCTTCCTGCCAAACATATTAAATATATGTATATATGAAGATGAGTTTTGGAAAGGGGGGGGGGCAAAAGAAAGATGGGCTGTGATAAAATACAAAAGAACAAATACAAACAGATGGACAAAGACACAGGTCCACTGAGGAATCTGGTACGAGGTTTGCTACTAGATTTATAGGTCACTCTCTCAGACGTTTGGTGGAAAACCGTCCAGCCTGCAAATGAATATAAAGGGAAGAAAACAAAGACACTTATAAAGTACAAATAGCTGTGATCAGTTGTCACCATCAGTCATATCAGCTTTGTTAGTTTATCATCCACATCTCCATTTTAGCCTTGCCAAAGAGGAGTAAGTTCATTGGCTATGTGCAAAAAAGGGTGCAAAACAGCAGAAGGAAATAGATATTTCATAGGATTAGTTTGGCAGGACATGCATAAACGAGTACAATATGATTTGTAACCATCATCACAGTTTGCAATAGACAAAGCTACTCTATCATGACGAAGCTTGGAAGCTATTGGTACTACAGCTATATCAAGCTATGTCTATTGTGATAGAGTCTCTAGTGAAGTCAGGAAATCATGCGAACTTGCAAAGTGGCAGAAGTTCAATTGCTCCCAAGTGGTAGTCTTTTATAGGAAAGAATGCCTTACGAACAAAATTCAGCAACATGGCAAAGGATTTGGACCTAAAGAAAAAGTAAGCCGAACTTTTCTGCTACTAAATGGTTTCAATCTACAAAGGGTCATTTACCCGGGTGTTAAAAAATGTACTTTAACAATTAATAATTCTTCCACAATATGCACATAAAACATGAGAAGCCTTCCTCTGTTCACACTTTGATAATCTAATATTGTTCATCCTCAATGGTACATTACTGACTCAATTGTCTAAAATTATCAAGATTAGAGATCTTGATCACACCATATTAGCACTTTTCCTTTCCCAAATGATGCTTAGCATTTTAACACTTCTATAAAGGAGATTGGACTGGGAGGCACTTACTCAAGTTAGTATGCTGAGCAAGTATTTGAACCCACAATTCTCATTTCCAATTTCCAAGTTGTGAAATAACTACCAATTTCAGCATGGAATAAATGATGTTCCTAAGCATATAGAATCACCTTGGCTAGAATTTCCATGTGCATCACCTCCTTCAGAAGCTAATCCAGAACAGATGTCAGAGGATAAGGAAGCTTTGACAGAGCAGGGTTGCTGTGTTTGAACTGATTTTCCAAGTATGGCTGATGTGGATGACGTTAGTCCACTCCCTTCAGTAGAACCAGTTTTAACTTTAGTATTTTCTTTAGCCAGAGCATCTTTGCAGTCTGATCCATCACCTAAACAGGATACAGGCAAAAATCACCAAGTACAATAATAATAATAATAATAAGAAGAAGAAGAAGAAGAAGAAGAAGAAGAAGAAGAAGAAGAAGAAAATATACAAGCGTCAACTCAATCTTGAAAAAAACTTCAACATTTTGAAAAAATAGGGAGAAATCTACAGCTGAATCAAATTTCACAGCAGAAATACATATAAGCCATCAATTATTGTTAGCCAGTCAGCCAGCCATCAATTTAGAGTTTGCCACGATGAATAACAATATAACACGAGGTCCACAGCTATATTAGATTTACGATTTATAGATTCAGCTGTCAATTCCCAAAAGGGATACAAGATCAAATGGACCATTTTAGACTATAGTAAAGATTTTGTGGGATTTTTGAATGTTTATTTAAACTGACAAATCTTTTCTTACAATTTAGGAGTCATGTGGCCTGCCATATGTTGGATTGCAACTCCCAGCAGATCTAGTCAGCACAGCCAAGGTTGAAGGATGCTGAGAGTTGTATCCAAAAAGTATCTGGAGCACCATGTGATTTCAATTCTTGGCGGGGGGACCACTGCTTAAGAAACAGAAGTTGAAAAGTCCCTATGAGCACACAATAATGGTGCAGCCTTTTGGGTACTGGCCAATATATTTTAAGATATTTAGGATTAGAAGGAATCCCAACATTCATAGTTCATTTATTAGGACTAACTGAATTGCAGCAAAACAGTGGACCCACCCGACTTTTTAAATGAGAGGTTTCAGCTTAATCTTATGCACGAATCCTCAAAAGTCAAACTGAATTCTGTAGCACTTGTTTCCACCCACCCACAGGATTAGTCTTAATATACCCACAATCTGAGCAGAATTCCCAAACCACAATTAAAACTCATCATAACAGGTATTTTTCTGGTCTTCCCCTTAAAAACCATATTCAAGAAAGGTGATACTAAAACATTCGTGAGAAGCTTTTTCATTCTCTAAAATTCTATGAATACGTAGCTGTACAAAAAAATAAGACACATTCACTTGTGCAATGTGTGAGAAAAGTTCGTTATTAAATTGCTTTCCAAGTATCGCTCACCTAAGAAAGAAAACTAAGGAAATTATTAATTTTGGAAAAATAATGCAGGTAGAAGCCAGAAACAACTTTGTGGGGTGGAACCTAAAAGCAAGTTGTGTATGCAAAATGATCTTCTTTATATTTCCAACCATGTTGTTTTGAAGTATTTATAAAGCAACGAAGAGAGAACGAGAAATTATATATATATATATATATATATATATATATATATATATATAGTATCACTATTTAGAAATTTATCTATTTATTGATTTGGAACATTTCTATCTTGTCCTTCTCAACCTCCGAAGAAGGACTCAGGACGGCTACCAATAGGCACTGTTCAATGCCAACACAAAATAAAACATAGCATAAAATACAGTTAGCACTAATTAAAACAGTTATAGATATACATTAAAACCGTCAAAACAAGAGATAAGCATGTCATGGGGAAGGAAAATGGTCTCTGCCAGTCAACTTTTATTCAATGACTACTCTAGGAAAGAAATATATAACCAATTTGGGAATACACAAGGGGTGGTTTTACAGATCATTCCTCTGAAATATATCCCACAGGATCTAAGACAGAAGCACTAAACAGTTGTATTTTAACTGTTTAAATTGATATATTGTATTTATTGTTGTATATGTAATGTGGCTTTGAGTTCCCCTAGGGGTGAGAACAGCGGGATATAAATATAGTATACTACTACTACTACTACTACTACTACTACTACTACTAATAATAATAGTATTCATTGGCAGTCCCCTCTCTAGGTTCTAACCTGCTTAGTTCCCAAGATCAGACAGCATCTGGTGCCAGCTGTTAGGAGTTGTGAGAACTGAAGTCCAAAACACCTGGAGGAGCAGGATTTGAAATACACTGCTCTAGAATGATGATTGACTGGGTAATAGAGGTGACAAAAGGAGAGGGGGCTTGGTGAAAGTTTTCCTCTACCCCTACCAGGACTGTTCTCAAGCGGAGGTAGAAATAATAGTGCTTATGCATGCTATATCCTAATAGTATAAAACAAATGCTTTGAAAGACAAGTGATAGAAGTTAGATAAGGTAAGAGGAGAAAGAATTTAACACAGTTCAGCATAACCCTTTTATTGACATGAGTTGATACGACTGATTATGCAGTTACAAAAGATACAAGTGTGTAGGCTGCCATGCTAAACCCTTTTTGGAAATAAGTCATTAAATACACTAAATCCTCAACACATATTAAGGAACACTACAGCATTCTCTATGCATTGATTGTGAGGAAGCTTCCTTTCCTATCCAACTTGGAAAAAATGTAAGGAAGGAAAAAGATGCTTTGGAAGAAATGAGAGACAGCACATTCAGGTTCAAGGACTTTCAGTGAAGACAGGAGACTTTCAAGCAGCAGTAATGGGAGAAAAATTATTAGTAGTTGAGGAATGCGATAGTAACATGTCAAATATTAGTGAGATAAACAGAATTACTCAATCATATATATATATATATATATATATATATATATATTCATTCAATAAGGTTCTCAAGGCACTTTATAAAAATAAGGAAAAAGTAAAATTAAAATAAATCAATAAATGACCCCTCCCCTAATAATAAAAACAGCTGATGTTCTCTCACAAATAAATCTCTCATCCCATCCCACGTTCACTGTATAATGCTATTATACAGTGTGTGGATAAGCATGGATGGAGAGAGGTACACCAATTCCCCACACCTTCCAATACCCAATCACCATGGAAACTAAACTCATCTATAGAGATAAACCTATCTTTGGCATATACCAGCTTTAATAAAACCTCCCCACTTTGAAGCCCAACATCTGTTAAAGAAACATTGTAGAACAGATACTGAAATGTTGGTATAATGTTGGTAGAAAGGGTTTAATGTGTTTGGTTAACCACTTGTAGCTCAGGCCAGTCTATTAATGTCAGTGATGAGTGAGGCAATTTTTGAAAACACACCTACCTGTCTTAAATGGCAATGATAAAAACTTCAGGACTGATAAATAAAATTACTTGTTGAATTGGTTGACAGTTTCACTTGCAAGTGGCATATTTTATGGTTGACACCTCCAAAATTGCTCTTTTGGGAGTTTGGGCTTTATTCTCCAATCTGCCACTTTCCAGATGTATACAAATCCCCCAGTCTAATAGAACTCCAACACATATGGAAAATATCAAGTTGGGGAAATCTGCCCTAAAGCATAAATATCTAACAACAATTACATTTTACCAATGAATTGCTATAAATCTGCTCTTCTTTCCACTTGCATTTATTCCTGGAAACATGTATGCTGCTCACTCCTTCAAACATCATGGACTGCTTAAAATAAAGTGGAATAAAACTTGGGAAAATGCCTGTTAAATAGCTAAAACCAATTTCTAAAATAGTTTTAAAAATAAATAGGATATTGTACTATTTATATCACACCAATCATTGTGGTAATTGTGTCATTAGAACATCTTATATTACTTTTGAAACATATTTCCCTTACATCTTAATTTATATATATTTTGTATAGCTGATAACTACACTACTTTGATTCATTACTTCTCATTTCTTGTACTGAAAGGGATTATTAGGGTTAGGTGATACCAGCATTTCACAGCCTTGGCCTGGTACTATATATATTTAATTAAACAGTGTTCCTTTGGCAACTGACATTAAAGATTCTCAGAACATGTCAGTGAGCCACTATTTACTTTCTTTTAATCTGTACGGCAAGCCACCTTGGGATATAATTGAGTGAATGAATGAATGAATAAGAGCCATTATGAACTATTTATCTAGCATGGGGGGCAGATGGATATTTTTCCTTCTGCATTTGTTTGCTGGACTCAGTAGAATTGTTGCTGGCTGCAGGATGTGATAAAAGGGCATTTTCTATGGTCCTGTGGCTCTGTTTCAGATTTTCTCTTCCAAAAGCCTTTCCTTTCTCCTACCCCAATGATGACATTTGAACTGAACTGGGAAGAAAGGGTGGTTCTGTACAAGCAGTCATCCCAGAAACATTCGTGTTTTAAAAACATGGATGTTCCTGGGGGCCTGTCCACAGCCAGATGCTCTCTCAGGACTGGCCTGTGACAACATCTGGAAAGCCCCCCCCCCTCCCCGCAAGCCCACAAACCCCACTGAAAAGTAAAGAAAACTTACCCAGCCTCCAGTGCACTCTTGCAGCAGCTCTCCCGGTGCATAGACATGACTTGCCAGGAGAGCAGGGGAGGGGGGAGGACAATCGTTCCCCCCTCATGGCACGCTATTTCTATGTGCTGGGAGAGCTGCTGCAAGAATGTACTGGAAGCCAGGTAAGTTTTCTTTACTTTTCAAAGGAGTTTGGTGGCTTTGAGGGAGAGGGAGGGTATCCCCCCAGTTTTCTGGACTAATTTAGCCCAGCAAACTGTGGGAATGGTGCCTGGACTGCAGTCTAGACACTGGAAATAGTGGGTTTATCCCATGCCTTCCAAGAAGGTGCAGAATAAATCCACTATCTAATTAATTCGTGACAAACCAAGATTTTCCTGGTTTGAAGTGAATTAATTTGAGATTGTCCAGGATGTCATCTGGACAGCCCTTTCTTTATTGCGGGAATTACCACAATAAACGGGCTGTCTTGGTGCGCCCAAAGACAGCTGGGGGATGAAATTGCAATGCTCATGCATGTGCTTGTGTAACAGAAAATTTAGAAACTGCTCCAGACGCAGTATGTATATTGCCTCCTGCAGTAAGTTACATCAGTTTTAGGTCCCATCTACACAGAGCATTTAATGCAGTTAGCTTCAAACTATCGCCAGGCAACAAACTCCCACAAAAGTGCACAAAGGAAAGCCCGTAAAGTTCACCGGTGGTTTGTGTAATCATCTACACAGACAATCCATTTTCTTCAATGCTGGTTTGAAACTGAAATGGTCAGTGTAGATGTGGACTAAGTCTATGGAGAGGGAATCATAAGGAGAAATTCAAAATGCTAAAAATCTTTCAACTAGTTTAGTCCAAATGGAGACTAAAAAAGAGAGAACAATTTAAAAATTAGAATTAATTAGAGCTTCTAGTATTTGCTATGGTTTGGGTAAAATCTATAGAATCAAAGTGTGTGAAGAACTGGAAAACTCAAAGTTGGGCAAAAGGATACACAGGCTGGGGGTTAATCCTCCTTTGGGTCACTGGGCAATGAACTTGTTCCCATTTCCTACAATTATGGAGTGGCTAAGAAAGGAGGTTGCAGACTTTTCTTCAGAAGGTTCACCATGAATCGAAGTTAACACAAATCCTTCCCATGTGTTCATGTACGCGATTAATACAGACACAAGCAGACCAGAAACTCTTTTCTGGTTTTGACACTGACTTACACCTCAAAGCAAGGTTTTATATATAAAAAAAGTGGTTTTATGTTGTGATTTAAAGTTTCAGCAGTTGACATCTCTGTTGACTTGATCAATACATAAATGGTTATCCAATGTATCCTAACAGGTCTTCACTCTTCACCTTTCATCAAATAAGATGGTTGTTAAAACAGTATCTGTCTGACAAAATAGTTCACAATCTGACTTGCCAATGTGATAGGATTTACACATACCGTCTTAACTTTCCAGAATATCAGAAACATACAATTGTGAACAGACTGCATTGTAAAAGTCACATATGTTAGATAGGTTTGTGTCTGCTAAACTTACTTGCATTGGATGTTGTTTTAAGTTGCTGAACAACAGGGTTTAATAATTTCCCAGTTTTTAATTTGTTCTTGCTGGTTCTTCTTCGGCGACCAGTTGGTGGGGCTGAATGAAGGAAGCCAACATTTGGTGGTAAAGGTTTTCCTAGTCGAACGTATAGAGCCTCTATTTCTTTCTTCTGCTGACTCTGAAGCTCAGTGATTTCTTTCATGTGTCTATACAACAACAATAAAAGTACAGTCAGCCCTCCAATTTGCTGAGGTTAGGGGCATAGGATCTTATGAAATTGAAAAACCACAAATAAAAAAACTATTTTTTTTACTCAAGAGAACACTTTTCTATAAATCACTACGTTTTCTAGCACATCTTTTCTCAACAGAAATAACCACAGAATCAAACTGGAGGACCTAGAGATTTCCAGAAAGGACATTTTAAACCTGTGAATAATCAAGCCAGCAAAAGTCAAACCTAAAAATATGGAGTATGTTATATGCTACACTTGGTACATGCTTTAATTAAAACATCTACATTTCCAAATATGTATCTAATAAGACTATACATATTACTCACAAACAACATTTCATTACTATGGGAATCTGGTTATATGTAAATATCTGCTGCCATCTGGTTCAAGGGATTTATCAACAGAACAATATTCTAGCAGCAAAACCAAAAAAAGGGTGAAAGAACAGATAGGATCAGGAAGGGGTTGCCTTATGAAACATCCAAAGCAACTCCAAGCCCAGAGAAACAGCAGCAAAGGCTATCAAAAAGTCTAGCTGACCTTCACAAGCTGGAACTACAAGCTAGAAGGTGCAAAAGAGAGGATTCAGGCTACATGTTTATTCAACAGTCTAAATTGTGATATTGTGATGGAGATAGAGATTAAATAAAGAGAGATAGGGCTGAAGGGAAAGGAAAGTTGGCTAGTCTGAATGTTGAATCAATAATCATGTAAATTCTACTGGCTGAATGACTGTGCTCTCTTTAGATGGTGGCTGCATTTAAGAGTCCAAACAGTCAGACAAATGTATGGAGATACAAGGCTTGATGGAGGAAGAACATTCTACATTAATTACACAGATCTGGATGTCATCAAGTTGTATGTGGTATTGAAAACCACAAGGATGGAATGAAGTTACCTAGGCAGAGTGAATGAAGAGGGCCAAGAGAACCACAACTGAGAGGGGAAAGATAGTGGAAGCAATGAAAGACTGATTAGGCAAGTAGGAAGAAAATCAGATAAGAACAGAATGACTGTAACCTAGAACAATAAAACAACAACAAAAGACAAATGAGAGCGATAAATAACTATAACAAGGCTTGTGGCACCTTGGAGACCAGAATGATGGCTGTCAAGAGTTGCAGTTACAGAAAATAAAATCACGCGTTAAAATAAATATTGCAAGAGTTTTAAAATAGAAGGGAAATCAGGTGATAATCAGGGGACATTATGGTGGCATTGTTTTCTGAGGATACAGGAAACAACAGCGAGAAAGAAGCAGCCAGATGAGACAGGTAGGTTCAAACTGTGCTAGAGAGAGAGAGAGAGAGAGAGAGAGAGAGAGAGAGATTAATTAGGGTAATTGCTGCTAAGATATATTAAGGAGGGTAGATGTAGTTAGATGAGCATAACAGGGCATCAAACTTAGCTATGAGGTAGAAATGAAGAAGAGAAGTTTGAGGAGATATATGAGAAGAAGAGTTGAAAGATGAGAAATGGGATACCTATGCACACCATTTTTCTTTTTTGTGAGATAGTCAATACCAAAACCTAGACTGAATATAGAAAAAATACACCCCCAAATTGTTAATTATTCACATTCACAAATCAGATAGCACAAACAATATTTCTCTCAATAAAAAGGTTTAAATAAAGGGAATGAATAAACTAAATGATAAAAATTAGGCAACTATACAGATAGCTGTATATTCAACAAGACTACAAATTATTTGTATATTGAACATCTTCATAGTTGACCAATTTTATCAGGACTGTATAAATCTGAAAAGTCTACTAACTTACTCAGATATCTGAATTTATTCCCATGAATATTTGTTCAGCTGCACCGGATACAATAAACACAGCAGAGATGTGATGCCTTAAGTATTTGGCGAATCCTCTGACACAGGCCTAGTGAGGAGCTAAAGCTGCATTTGAATCCTACTTAGGGACAAGCTGAGGTGACCCATCTCAACATGGGTTCCCTCCATCACCTTCTGTGGTATAGCCCAAATACAGGTCTATCACCTCAATGACACAGAAAAGATACTTATGTGAAAGGAATATTTTGGAACCCTAAGTAGGATCCAAATGCAGCTTTACCTCCTCACTAGGCAAATAGGAACATAACTGGTAAGTGCAGTAAGAACCCAGCATTTGGCTTGTGCATAAGTGCCCAAAATAGGCCTCACATTTGAATGAAATACAACATACTTTTCCCTCAGGTTCTGCAATTCTTTTTTCATGTCTGCATCTTCAAACTCTGAATCATTATCACTGCTCACATATGATGAATGTGAGTGGAAAGAAGACACATTGATAGTTGGTATTTTGGCCCCATGACCATTAGGAGAATCAAGAGCTTGTGAGTTTGACTTTCCGGTCTTTTGAAAAAAAGAGGAGTGCTTTCTAACATAGTCATTCCCTGCACTACTGCTCTGAGGTGAGGAAGGAGCTGCAGCTGGTTTTCTTTGAGGAGAGTCATCTCCGGAATCACTTGAATCACGACCATAAAGAAAATCAACAGAGGATGCTGTCTGCACACGTCGCAGGGAGGTCTTCCTATCAGGGCTAGAAGGTTGATCATCCAGATAAACATCTGGTGGTGCCGAGTATCTTGAGGATTGCACCGATGGCAAGGTTAACTCGTCCTGTGTGCTGATCACTGAAAATCTGCCAATTGTTTTTGCTGGTGTATTGCTATCTGTTTCAACTTGCTTTGTACTTGTGCTGGAGTCTAGAGAGTCATCTTTTTGAGATCTATTTTTCTCTTCAAGTAACGTTAGTGTGTTTGTCTTTTCATTCCGGTTAGATGCATCTTTCTGGTCAGCTACATTTGATGATGAAAAAGCAACCTGAAATAACAAATATGAATATGGTTCAACGGGTGAATATGTCATCAAACATTTGTTTTTCCAGAATTTAACTGTGGCATTCATTATCTCTAGTTGATTGAAGAATGCAATTAAAAAATGTAAAAATAAAAGCAGTACCAGCAGTAAATTAAAAATTTGCAATACCTGGGAGTCCTGATGGTAAAGCAACAATAGTTGAAATAACAGAAGCTGAAGCTTGACCTGTTTAATACACCAGAAACAAAAGAAAATGCACACACATCTGGACAGTATTTTTGAATAAACTATTAATTAATATGAGGAAGTCACAGGGAGGAGAAAGCAAGCTTGTTTTCTGCTGCCCTGGAGACTAGGACACAGAACAATGGCTTCAAACTACAGGAAAGGAGATTCCACCTGAACATGAGGAAGAAATTCCTAACTGTGAAAGGTGTTCAGCAGCAAAATTATCTCCCCCGGAGTGTGGTGGAGGCTCTTTCTTTGGAAGCTTTTAAACAGAGGCTGGATGGGCATCTGTCAAGGGTGCTTTGAATTCGATTTTCCTGCTTCTTGGCAGGTGGTTGGATGGATGGCCCATGAGGTCTCTTCCAACTCTTATGATTTTATGAAACATTAAATTTACACATCTGTGTGCACACTCAAACAGCCTTCATATACAACCAGACACTAATGCATGAATGCATATCACATATTGAGGTTGGTTGTGGACTCACTGTGGGTAAAACAGGGATGATAATCTGGTTTACATTCTCTGTATACAGATACAAGGAATATCAAATGGTGTGATCCTATGTGCAATTATTATTTTTTTTAAAATAGGGCATATAGTAAGGCATTATGTAAAATATTGTATATACTACCTAAAGGAGGGCATTTGTGGAAAGTGTGGTTACAACTGGTAACTGTTCAGCCCAACTGGCTGTGCACCTACACTTCTCAATATCATGCAAAGGTTCTGCCTTTTCCTCCTCTATGCCAAATTACTTTTATTGCTCCATTACAGATTGGTATTGAACATGGTGTGTTACCAATAAGAAGACACATGCAACTCAAGTTCACTTTCTGAGCTTCTATTGTAGTGTCAAATTTTATGTAGGAAAGGTTAAGCAAGCCATAGACGATCATAAAATTTACAAATTTAATCCCATATGAAGAGTGGTTAAGTCAGTTGGTTCTTGTACATTTGCCTCACTTCAAAAATTAAAGGGAGTAAGATTGTAATCTCTAAATGGTAAATAACATGCTTCATACAAACAGGCAGTTAAATCATACATTGGGAGAATGCCTTTATAGCTATTCTTCAGTGCAAATAAGCTTTATTTTCCATCTATCTATCTATCTATCTATCTCACAGATTATGGCCACTGTTTCCCAGATGTTTGGGATTTTTAAGATCTTTTGATGGTCCTTCAATGTCTTGTATCCTCTTATTAACTGACAATATATTTTTTTAAAATACGAATAGTTATCTACAAATAAGATTCCTGTTTATGCTCTTTTTTCTGCCCACATTTCTTTTTAGTATGCAAAGTGAATGTTCATTAAAAACACTTTTTTTTCCTCTTCAGGGACACAGACTCCAGGTTATCTGTAATTCACAAAATCCCCATTTAAGGAAAATATGAATATGAAATTGTTTCCTTCTGTCAGTTAATGCTGTTGCCATATTCAATTTTTCCCAATAATAACCTGTATATGAAGTATGAGATCTGGTTCAGATAATATTTTCCTATACCTTCTCTGTGATGTCATGAGCAAGAACACATCTTTCCATCTCATGTCCCCAAACATAATATTCATGTATGGATTTAGAAAGTGAAAGTATGCTGATCCAAACTCCACAATCAAGTGAGTGCGATCTTGTTTTCATTCCCCAAAATATTTATAGGGAATTATCACCTTATGTAGTATCAATATGCTATGCCTTGTATCCTATATTCATATTTAAGTCTGTGTAAAATTTAGTTCCTCTCAAATAATATCAAGATATTCATGTGTAAATTCCTAATGTTTGTCTAAAGTGTAAGAATGTGCAGATAGCAATGTTGTTTCATGGTTTGCTACCTGCTCTGCTTGTTGACCCATGCCTTACTTCTGAAGACTGGAGGCTGGTGCTGGTAACGTCTGACTTCCGCACCTTCAAGCCAAAGGACCAAAATGTAAATTTGTATAGGTATGAAGATCATCATAAACTTATTTTAATAATTTATTCTAAAATAAGTCCAATGTATATGTTGCATTTTCTCCTTTGCCAGTTTTTGTGCTACTTTTTCTTAAGACAGCAGACAATGAGAAATTACACCCAAGGTTGACATCTTGCATTGCAGGTACAGATCCATAACTTAGAGTTATGGCTCTGCAAATGCTTCATTTTCATGGTATATATTCACAACTATTGCCACAATTATAATATCCCAGAACTGACCTTTAACTAGAGTCACAGTGTGATGAGTGAGGTGGTAATGCTGCGCGTTCTGAAACACCTCATTTCTCTGCACCACAGACCCAAATCCCCAAAAGCATTGAATTGCTTCCTTGAGTTTAATGTGGGATCTGGGAGGTCAATTCCTTAGGGCATTAATAACCATATTTATATAGTTATAAATGCAATTTAGTATTTCAGCCCACTGTTTTAGATGTCAACATTAAGTAAACATGTACAAAAAGTTGAGGTGAATGTTTTAACTATCAGCAGGTTCTGATGAATTCTAGATTTCAATCTAAACACTTCCCTTGACACAAAGGATTAAAACTAATCTGTGGCTTCCCCAGCATCAACACCAAGCTTTGGTATATCTCAGAAGAAGAAAAACAATTTACCCAACTGTAAGTTCACATAAAGCACTGCATTGTATTACTGGGCCACTGCTACCCAGGGTGATTGTTCCATTACTCCCTAACAACTTGAGAGATCCCTGAACTTATAGGATAGAATCCATTAGAAAGCACACTCCTATAAACACTTTGGCCAGGGAGATCAGATATAACATGAAACCTGTTTCAATTCCACCTTTTGAAACTTGCATGGACTACATAATAGCAATCCAACCCCACCTCCCAAAATTAAACCCATAAATCCAATGTAGTTCACTTTCATTCCAATGCTGTCATCTGCCCACTTTTAGTATAAAGTATTTTTCTTTGTTTAAAATATTCTGTAATATCATTAAAAGTCAGAAAATCAGAGGCCAATGGTAATACATGATGTGACTCGATCAGCACGATAAACAAGTAAGGTAAATCAATTAACTAATCAGATGGTCATTATTTAATATGTACCAGAATTCATTGGTCTGTGGAGTTAATGAAGCCCCCAGGGCCATTTTGTGTCCCCAGGGGTTTCTATGTGGAGCAAAAGAATTTAAAAAGGATCCCAAATGTCCTCTAGAGGTTTGGGGCTTTCCTGGGTTATTTTAGGCCTAATATGTGTCATTTTGGAGCCCCTGATGGCACAGCAGGTTAAACCGCTGAGCTGCTGAACTTGCTGGCCGAAAAGTTGGAAGTATGAATCCAGAGAGCAGGATGAGCTGTTAGCCCTATCTTCTGCTAACCTAGCAGTTCAAAAACATGCAATGTGAGTAGGTCAATAGGTACCACTACTGTGGGAAGGTAACAGTGTTCCATGCTGACCACATGACCTTGGAGGCATCTACGGAAAACACTGGCTCTTCAGCTTAGAAATAAGGATGAGCACTAACCCCCAGAGTCGGACACAACTAGATTTATTGTCAGGGGAAAACCCTGACCTTTACCTATGTGTCATTTTAAAAAACAGAAAATGTCCCAGTGGACCAAAAATCCCATCTAGATTACTGTAATGTGTTCTACGTGGGGCTGCCTCTGAAGAGTACTCGGAAACTTCATCTGGTCCAAAGAGCTGCAGCCAGATTGCTCACTGGGACTGGCTACAGGGAGCAGACAACTCCCCTGTTGAAGCAGCTCCAATGGCTGCCAGGCTGTTTCTGGGCACAATTCAAAGTACTAGTTATGACCTTTAAAGTCCTAGAGCAGTGGTTCTCAACCTGTGGGTCTCCAGGTGTTTTGACCTACAACTCCCAGAAATCCCAGCCAGTTTACCAGCTATTAGGATTTCTGGGAGTTGAAGGCCAAAATATCTGGGAACCCACAGGTTGAGAACCACTGCCCTAGATGGTTCAGGCCCAGGCTATATGGTCAACCACACCTCCTTTTATGAAACTGCCTAGGCCCTGAGATCTTCAGAAGAGGCCCTTCTCTCAGTCCCACCCCATCTCACGAGAGAGAGGGCCTTTTCGGTGCCTCCCCCTCGACTCTGGAACTCCCTGCCAAGGGAAGCCAAAATGGCCCCCTTCCTACTGTACTTCTGGCAGCAGGCTAAAACCTTTTTTAGACAGGCTTTTAAAGATGACGGTGTTTAAGATCAATTCAGGGGGTGCTGCGGGTTTTAACTTTGATTTTGTCTTACTGATTTTTAACGGGGAATTCTAAAATACTATTTATATTTAATTCTGTTTTAATATTTGTATATTTGTACATTTTAAATGACTATGCTGATGCTTTTATGTTAAGCTGCTTCGAGTCTCCTTTAGGGGAGTTAAAGCGGGGTATAAATAAATATAATAAATATAACAACATCAACAACAACAACAACAATATCCTCATGCATCCTATGGAAAGTTTGGTCGCATTTGATGATTATTTTTTTTTGCTGGGAAGTATGGCCTTCCAAGGTGTTTTAAGGGGGTAACATTGCCCTTTCCTCCTACAGTTGCACACACATAATTTGCACCAATAACACTATGGAACACTATTTTTGTTCCTTAGTTATACATGTTATTTTCTAATTGTTTCTACCATAAAAACATGGAAGAATTTACTAAACTGCAAAAACTATGTTTTTGTGGGACATCCCGCAGCACATTTTGCTATAGTTTTTCAATGACTATCTCACTTAAAGTCAACAAACTCAATACAGTTTGTGGCAGCCACAAAAACAAAGTTTCTGGAGTATAACAACTATTTTCAAAGTAAGTACTGAACAATTTAACAGGAAATAACTCTTTCAAACCAGGAACACAAACTTTTTTCAAATTTTGTTACATAGTGTAATGGGCAATCATGTGTTTTGCTTTGTGATTCTTGATACAACACAGGTCAACTGTGAATTCTGCTTACAAGCTGGCCCTCAGCTGCATGAACATCCATGTCTGTTCCAGGGATTTTCAAATCCAAGAGGTGTGGAGGCAAAGGCGCCAAGTTAAATTCACCATCCCCTTGGTCTAAAGGTACGAAGCTGTCTGGTGTTGCAGCTGATGCAGAAGATGTTGGGACGTATTCCTGGTATAGCAGGTTGCGCAGTTTCTCATCCAGACTTTTTATTGTGTTGTCAGCAAAATCCACTCTGGGTGGTCCTTCACCATCAGATTCTACTGCACAAGCTGGCTGTGATGCACCTACAGCAAGGCCAGTGGATGGTATAGGCTGTGACTGGGATGGAACTGGGGGAATCTGGGATGCAGCTACAGACATGGGAGGAGGACTGGAAAGCTGAGGTGCTGCAGAAATCTGAGGATCAGGGACAGCAGTCACAGGAAGTATCTGGCCTACAAAAGAGTGCTGCATTTGTCCAGATTGATTGTTGTCTGGCAAATTGGGGATTTGTGTTGGAGGCTGATGTTCCAAAATAGTAGCATCAGAGACAGCAGGGAGTGGGCAGACTTCTGCTGTCTGCGCAGGAATAGGCTGAGCATGTTTTGGGAACCCACCAGTTCTGGGCTCAGCCTCTGCACTAGGGACACAAGCATTTTCATCTATTTGCTTCATTGTCTGCAGTGCAGGAGTTATAGGTGGTCGAGATTCTTCAAGCAAAGTGGCACTATGAGCAGGTGTATCAGGTCGGCTAGGTACTACAGGTTGAACAGGAACCACCGGCTGAAGTGGAGGGCATTCTCCTTGACCACTACTTTCAGCAGCTTCTTCTCGAAGATGTGTAGCTGTTGCTGGGGTTGCAGCAGTGGATATTTCTTGCTGGACCTGTGAAAGGGATGTTGATGTAGGCAGGGCAGAGCCTTGTGTCAGAGGAGAAGGAGGGGGTGTTCCTCTGGGACTTTCATAGGCACTTCCTTGACTAGAAAGCTGCTGATAAGCCATGCTTGTTTGTTTGTCTGCTGCGGAAGAGCTTTGCTGCTGATCATCCGACTGCTCTAGATCTACAAATAACAATAGCAACAAATAAAAACTTTTGATTTCAGATAATGATGTTTTCCTTGGTAAAACATCAGGGATTAACACCTGATCTTCATAGCAATATGTAGCAGAAAATAAAACCCAAGGAAATCTGATAGGAAGCTGAAGTTGTCTTTTCTTATTAGAGAATTTTTGTCTGGCATTATTCTCTCGGAATAAGCAAACATGATGTTTACAGTTTGCTTGGCAGCCAAATGTCCAATGAAAAAATGATATTAAAAGAAAGAATATTCCCCTTAACTGCAGCAGTTCCACTTAGCAATATTTTCTAATGTGAAATATTTGACATTTTTATTGGCTATTAGCAGTAACCATGCAGTACTCCATTTCAGCCAGCTGGAAAATTGAGATTAATAAGGAGGTGTTCTGTGTATTACATGGGTCTTTAAAATGCATTTGTTTGACAAGGACTGCAATTACGTCTGCACATGTAAATCAAGATAGGGATCAAGTTAAATGTCCATAAGTGTGTACTCCTTATATGGCAAGGTTCTGACACTAAACCGACTCCTCACTTGTTCTCACAAGTGGTACTGCTTGCCCCCGGCTATTCCAATCCCTTTGGGTAATGAATGATTCAAACATTCTCCTCCTGGAAAGATAATTGCTACTTTAACTGCTGGGACATACACATTTCTGAGTGACATCTCCTTGCTCTTATTTCTGAATTTTTGGTTCTGCATTGTTAGGTAGTGGTGATTCTATTTATCTCCTGAACAAGAGCAGGTCTGTTGTCAATACACCTGTTTAGCACCCAGCTCCTGTTGACGCTGATGGTTCCTACAGCACCATCAACATACATGCCACTTTACAAATCAAACAAACAAACAACCAGGAGTGATTTCAATTATTTCCTACTATAATTTTTCTATCCCCTCATTTTTTTCTTTTCTTGAAGGTACTCTGAAGGCAATTGTCTAAGATACACAGTTACATTTGTAATATTCACATATACCTGTGGCTTCAGCCTGTTTTGAAGTCTGAGGAACAGATGAAGAGGATTCTGGGGCTTCAGAAACTGGATTTTCCACAACAGGACAAATGATAAACCAACGCTTCCCTGTATGTAAAACTAATAAGAGAAAAAAAGGCTATTCAATGTTTGTATACCTCCCAAAAGAAATTAGCAGCATACTCCAACTCTTAACAACTACTAGTACCACCAATATTACTACTAGTTACTGTTGTCACAATAATATTTAAGAACTATCACATTCAAAGATGATTTTAAAAAACTTAACTAATTAACATTAAAACAAAGGGTAGTGGTACACTTCAAGCCAAAATTCTAATTATTTAAAGAAAACATTCTATTCATAAATATTTAAAATAATTTTCATGTATTTCTTTTCCCCAAGACAAACATGTGGGGCTGAATTAGGTCAGAGTGGATCCAATCAGATTTGTGTGCAAAGTGGAAGCCTTCCAGCTATTTCTAGACATAATTCCAAATGCAGGTTACAGCCTATAAATACTTATATGGCTGAAGTCCAGGCTATCCAAGGCTACAGGCCTTTCTGAGTTTTCAGAGACTCATAGAAAAGATTTGCCTTGATCTGACCACAGTCACAAGTGTATTTGGTTAGAATAAAAAGAGTCTTCCCAGTGGCTGTTCTCAGGCTGTGGAATTCCTTTTCATGAGAGGTTAGCTTGACTCCCTTTCTGTTCTCCTTGTGTCAGGAAAGAATATTTTTCTTCAGACAGGCATTGGACCATTACCTAGTTGTTACAAAAGGTGTTTTTTTTTGTTTGTTTGTTTGTTTTAAAAATGGGGTGATATAGTTTTCTCTCACTGGTTAGACTTATTACTTCTATTGAAATCCTATCATTTTCAATGGTTCTATCCCAGGTAGGACTAATTTAAGCCATTTGTAAATGTCGATGGCAGCAAAACTACAGTAAGAACCAATATATAAAATAATGAGAAATAGAATTTCAAATAAAGTTATGCACAGAACTGTAGTCTTGGATAACAACAATAAAACCTGAAGTACTATCTGCATGAGGAATATAATGCTAAGCATAGGATTATTAAATATAGTTCTCATACTTTATTTTTTGGTCCAAGCTAATATCCATATGAAGATCTCAACATTAATGCTTATCCTATCTTCCTCAATATGGACACACATGCATGATTGACATAAAGGCCTTCCTTTCATGCCCTTTTGTAGGAGCTTGTTGTCTGGCTGTTGCAGTTTGAAGTAGATTTGAACTGCATTAAGTATCAATACAGATGGTGTATTTGTCATTCTAACCAAGTTCCAGCTGTTCAGGCATATTTCATACCCTGATTATTGACAATACCCCAATGAAAGGTAATTAATGACTTAATCATTCTGCAATGACAAACATACACATATGCAGATAATTATAAACACTTTTACCATTCTGTTGATACACCGGCATTCTTGCTTGGGATTGCCGATTCTCCTGTTTTTTAAAAAAAATTTTAGAAGACCATTAGTATCATATAGTTTTTTATCTTAAAAACATTTCTGTTTGAAACTGATTTAACCGAAAATTACACATTAAAAAAGGATCAAACACACGTTTTTGTCCTGGCTAATTAAATTAAGTTGCAGTGTTATCATTGAGCTTTGATTATAAAATAATACCTCATTGATTTCCATCCTGTAATTGTCTTGCTGAGGGCTTGCACCCTGATCGGAACTCCTTTCCCCTTCTGTATCTTCACTAAGCATATCTTCTGCTTTGTCAATTATTTCTTTTAGTTGTTCAATAAATACCTCCTTCTCAGTAGGTAATATAAATTCATTTTCTACCTATATAAATGCACAAAAATATTTTAAGATCTTTAAGTATATAAATTGTTCAAATAACTGTACTGTCTATTTATACCCCCTTTTTTGGAAACCATATCAGGGAAAAGTTTTACATCTACCAAAAAGAGTGTGCCGGTGCTATAGCTTATGGTTTGGACCCGATGAAAATTAAGCTGTCTGTGCCAAATACTTCTGATACAAACTAGATAATGTATTCATTAATAGTATGTAATTGACCAGTCCTGATTAATCAGTAAATTAATGTTTCACTATATGAAAGGGCTGTCAGTGGGTATGCATAAACCACAAGCACTAGTTGATAAGTCAATAGGAACTTTAAACTTCTTGTTGGTTTATTTGAATATATTACCATAGTGAGGGTTTGTTAACTTTTATAAGCCAATTCACAGCAAATCGATGCATATCTCAAAAGTGATATATATATATATATATATATATATATATATATATATATATAAACACCCACCAATGATTATATGTTTTATATGTTACTGGCAAATGTTGAGGGTAAAAAGAGTTCCTCCCATCTCAGATTACCAGCTCTCTACATAAATAGGATACAGCATGGGTAGCTCATTGATAGGCAGCCTTTTGCCATGCCCCCCAAAAGCACATTGCGAAAGAGAATGTTGAAATGAAATAACCTAGCTCCTCAACAGCACACCTCCAAATGATCTCAAGCATTTTCTTTCTAACCGTACAAGAATGACTGTGAAGTATACATATGGATGACTAAAGATTCAGTGACATACCAAGAATCCCAAGCCAAGAAAGACTTACCATGTAAGTAGCAATTTCTTCTGGAGCATCACCATCTAAATCAAACTTAAATGTAACCATTTTGTGGTTGTGTGTTTCTAGCTGACATTCCACCATCTTATCACCTGTGTTGCATACCTATAAAAAGAGCAGTAATTAATTCAACCACTACCAAATAAATAAATAAATCCTGAACAACAGTAGCTAACTTACATTTAAAATTGTCAGTTTTGGCCTGTTGGATTTCTCCTGCCGAGAACGAGTACGTGTTGATTTCTTATGTTTCTTTGAAGATTTTCCTTCTTGTTTTCCACTTCCACTTGTCCCTTCAAAGCTGTCACTCATCTCTTTTCCAGAAGCAACATCAGGGCTCATATAGCTTAGCAATATTGAATGGAAAAGTCATAGAAATTAAAAGAAGATAAAACTAACAGTCCAACAAAACCCATTATCCCCAACCTTGCATTAATTTAAGAAAACATGAAAGCATTTTTTCTCTAAATGACAAGGATTTGTTTGTGATAGTATCCATTATTATCAAAAGGAAATGTTTACAACAGTGACAGAACATTAAGACCAATGGAAGCTAGTGATATTGGCTGAAATTGATAACCGGGTGATGGAAAGGAGCAATTTGCTTGTGGTTTTGGCAAAGAGTGGTTACCTACTCTGTGTGTGGTAGCTTCCTCCCTTGGTTAAAAATATCATGCATAGGAATTTATATTTAGCTTGATGGATATTTGAAATTACATTGACTGAAGGATGATCCTTTATCTGGACCCACAAAGATGCTATAAATATGGAGGCTACCACATTTGCTTCTGTGCAAAGTTACTGTCCAACTATCACTTTTTGCAAAGGACAACTGATGTGCATTTTTGGGCACATGAATAAAACAGAATAAGAAGGCAAGGGCCACTGGAATGTTGATTTTAAGATGGTGTACTGAAGAGGAGATCAATAATGGTGAACTTAAATGCAATTTGCTCATGATTCAGATCTTGTGCAAGACGCAACTATGGGGCAGTGATGGACATATTTCATACAGGTTGAGAATCCCTTATCTAGAATTCCAAAATGTGAAATACTTTTAAATCTCAAATTGTTCACATGGGTGACTGAGATAGTGATACTTTTGCTTTCTGGTGGTTCAGTATATGTAAACTTTGTTTCATGCACATTTTTTTTTAAAAAAAGTATATACAATTACCTTCAGGCTATATGAAAGTATGAAACATAACTAAATTTTGTGTTTAGACTCAGGTTAGATTATTATGTATATGCAAATATTCCAAAATCCAAAATACGGAACACCTCAGATCCCAGGCATTTTGGAAAAGGGATACCCAATCTGAATCACATCCAGTTTGCACAGAGCAATGCCTAAGAAATAAAGGTGCTATCTCAAACAATTGCAATGCATATATCCCTGTGCTTGGCAAGAATTTTAGTAAGTATACCTTTCGCAACTCTGTGACAATGACTGCTGCTTCTCTAGTACTGCAGACTCCTGTAATGTAAAGAGAAGACATTATTTGTGTGCAGATGTGCTGCAAAATTTGTATATGTGAGCAAAATAAATACATTTCCAAGTACTATGAATAGCACTCTAATCATAGTTAAGCATTTATAACAACCAATGATTTTTTTTAAAAAAAAATCCTCATGCCAGGAGCTCAAACTGCCTTTTCAGTATACTTTTTTGTTGAACAAATTACTAGACATTATAACTACTCCTGTAGTTAAGGTGTGCTGGCAACTGATAAAAAAATGTCCTACTGGCAATACCTTCAAATTACAGGAACTACTTAATTATTTGCAGGTATTTGTGTATTATTACTGGAAAGTAAACGAATGAATTCAACGTTGGTAGACTAGGAAAATACTCAGAATAAAACAATCGAAATTAATAACTTCTACATGATTTCCAAGGACTGACATTAACTGTCCATGAAATACAAGAGATGACGATGAAAAAGGACACAGAAAGATTTAGTCGTGTCAGGAGCGACCTGAGAAACTGCAAGTCGCTACTGGTCACTTCTGGTGTGAGAGAATTGGCCGTCTGCAAGGACGTTGCCCAGGGGACGCCCGGATGATTTGATGTTTTATCATCCTTGTGGGAGGCTTCTCGCACGAGGAGCTGGAGCTGACAGAGGGAGCTCATCCGCCTCTCCCCAGATTCGAACCTGCAACCTGTCGGTCTTCAGTCCTGCCAGCACAGGGGTTTAACCCACTGCACCACTGGGGGCTCCACACAGAAAGATGGAATCTATCTACATCAGTGATTCTCAACCTGTGGGTCCCCAGGTGTTTTGGCCTCCAACTCCCAGAAATCCTAAGAGCTGGTAAACTGGCTGGGATTTCTGGATGTTGTAGGCCAAAACACCTGGGGAACCACAGGTTGAGAACCACTGATCTACATTTTACTTTGGAGATCAAGAAAAAAGCTGTTCCAAGTGCCTCAAAAATTTGTTCATTCTTACCAAACACGCATTAGTAAGAAACACATAACAATAAGAAACATGCAATATACCTCTTGAGAAGGTTCTGTTGGGACAACTGGGCATGAAGCTGGACCCTGCTGGCCCACAGGCTGGTGATTATCTGGCTGAGTTTGCAGATAACCAGTTGACTGAACAGACAGACCATGATCTATTGGCATTGCCATGTTTGCTGCAGTCATCATGCTCTGCGAAAAACCTTCTGGACCAATGCAGTGAGGAACTGCTTCAGGCTGCAATTGCAAAGGTGGTGACATAACTGCAGAAGGTTGTACTGGCAATGCAGGAATCTGGGCTCCAATATCCACAGCATACCCCGGCTGTCCAATTATCTGTTTCAACACAGCAGACATCTGTTATTAAGATCTGTTCTGTTCAGACTACTAACCACTGATTTATCTAATCCAAAAATGTTAAACATGAATCCTTGTTAATAAAATGCTTGGATTACTCTGTAACAAAACTGTGTTTATGTATTAAAGAAAGGAAGGAAGGAAGGAAGGAAGGAAGGATGGAAGGAAGGAAGGAAGGAAGGAAGGAAGGAAGGAAGGAAGGAAGGAAGGAAGGAAGGGCTGGTCACACTAATAATGTCACAGATGATAAAATGCAATGAAAGTGGACATTACTCACCATGGCCACCTGCTCACATTTAACAATTCAGTTCTAAACATTTCCATACCATTACAAAAATTGAAATGTGCTGTAGGGCAAATCATAAGATTATATAGCAAGTTCCTGACTATCGTAATGTAGGGAACTTGGCTAATTTCCCACTTATATAAACTTCATATCGGGGAAAATGTCTCTTACCCTTTATTATAGAGACCTACTTTTATCCAGAAGAGGGGGAGACTACAACAAAGATGTTTGGTTATGTGAAGGAGATATAAAAAATAGTTGCATTTCAAATCACTTATTATTTTTGTGAACTGGGTCGGCATGCTGAATGTGGGGTTTACAAACAACATAAGATAGATACAAGATATTCACACAGTGTTTATACTGTGGATTTAGGATTTTAAATAAAGTGATAACATCAGTAAACCACTTCAAAAAAAATTTTTTTTGTTGTGTCAGGAGTGACTTGAGAAACTGCAAGTCGCTTCTGGTGTGAGAGAATTGGCCATCTGCAAGGACATTGCCCAGGGGACGCCCGGATGAATTGATGTTTTATCATCCTTGTGGGAGGCTTCTCTCATGTCCCCGCATGAGGAGCTGGAGCTGATAGAGGGAGCTCATCTGCCTCTCCCCGGATTCGAACCTGTGACCTGTTGGTCTTCAGTCCTGCCAGCATAGGGGTTTAACCCACTGCGCCACCGGGCGCTCCACCACTTCAAATGTTTGAATAGGACATAACAACCCAATGCTATATGAACACAAATTGAAAAACACATAATGGTGGCCAGTTGTAGAATACTTCATGAGCTATAGTGTAGCTTGAAACCAAAAATTACGAGTCATAGTTATGTATTAGCAATTTGTTAATATAAAGGTGGTAATTTGAATTATTCCTGTTATTTTGCCACATATAATTGGAACCTATATAATTGGAACCTATATAGATGCACAACCAATCGCAAAGGTATTTGTGCATATAATTGGAACCTATATAGATGCACAACCAACCGCAAAGGTATTTGTGCTTAAGTGGAGGCAATGAGATTGCACTATAACATTTTCTTGTGATGATTACATCAAACAGCCTATAATTATATATTTATTAAAAGGATGTTTTCCATAACAGCACAAAGCATGGGTATCTTATGCAGGTTTTCCCCTTGGTTCATGAAGACAAGAATACAGAATCAAGCTTTACCTGAAGGGGAAACTGAAACAGTTATGAGATGCAGACGAGACATGGACAGACAAGACAGACAGACACAGGAGACAGCAGCAGCCAGAGAAAGCACAGAAGACAAAGAAAATCACTTTTAGCACTAATAAAGGGCCATATAATGTTTGTATTTTATAATTTTGCATATGTCTTTGTGTGTAATTTCTATTATGACACTAAAATAGGAAAAAAGGCTGTATTCTCAGCTCTCTTTGCATAAAATAATTTTAAAATCATTTCAAAATATTAAGCCACATTTCTAAGCTTAATTAATGGTTAATATCATAATATAATCTAGGGAAAATTAAAAAGGAAAAACTTCCTTGCATGGTCTGTGTGAGCTGGGAAGTTCAATACAGAGGCTGTTTCATAATTTTCAACGACTGTGGAAAGGTAATGATGATTTGATCCATTTTAATATTACAATAATAGAAATAAAAATAAAGAAAAATTATGTTTGTACATATATCAAAAGAAAAATTAGTAGCAGCCATCAGTGAAACAGAGGCATACTAGGATGCCCTCTTGCTCTTCCCCTAGGAAAGCATAAGAGGCTGATACATGGAAATACCTTCTGGTCAAGGTTTTTAATAATGTACCACAAGTCTCTTTTGATAAGAAGTCATGAATCTGAGTAAAAACTGATATAGATATGTGACATGCTTAGAGAGCTACAGGGTCTGGAGCAACTACTGTGGAATCCAATGGGGTTGACACCATTGGTTCAGTGGAGGCTGCCTGGTATTGGGATGCACGGATGCCCTTCACAAACAATATTCATGTACCAAATATAAGGCTGAAGATAGAAATTTAGGTACAGGAAAGTTGGAAATACAGAACAACAAACTGAAATGGAATGTTATGGATTTTAGGGTGGACGATGCGATAGAATGCAATGACTTACTTTTTAAAAAACTCCTATTTTTAGCAAGCCATTCCTATCTATGATTTACTATAAACCCCTCTATACTAAAATCCTACTCATAACCCCTTTGGATTATATATATCTATATCTTAATAATTTTTAACATTAGGAATCCTATTCACTTGCAAATGCTATTTATTGAATGTCATATTTCATTCAATGAAGACAATTCTTATGACTATATAAATACCTTCAAAATAATATTTCTGAAAATATTGTCCTATAAGAGTTCCTTTGTTTAAAGAAAAGTCTGCACTTAATAATATCTATATCAAAACAGAAATAGCATTTCATACGACTTGGTAAAGTCTGATATGCATACAGCTATTAATTATAAAAGTTTTAATATTAACATACTGGAAGCCACTATACGATACATCATCAACTTATTTATTTTGTATTGCAGCAGTAATATTGCATTGTATTGTAACCTACTCCAAATGTATTATCAGCTGCATTATCAATTACAAATGTAAGTTGTTCTTAATGGTTGGGAAGAAACTGCTCCCCTAAGCAAAGCACCACAAAAGTTGTTTTTTTTAAAAAAAAAAAACCTAAAAGGCACAGAACACTCTTGCTAGCATAGCCATTAGCCCTTCCAGAGTTATAATCCAAAAATGTAACTTTTCAAACTGTTATTACTCATGGTGCTTTTCATGTGCTCATATACTTTTGTAATTTCATCATTCACCTGAAGTCATATTACTTCACTACTTAATAACAAATGCATTTTCATGTCCCCATTTTCATTACCTCCATAGACAAAAATAATTAAAGCAAGGAGGAAAAATCCCAATTAGTTAATTTATTCATAGAGTTGAAAGAGACCACAAGGGCCATCCAACAAACTGGAGAATCAAGGTTTGGAGCAATACTCCTATGTTCTACTACCAAGAAAACCCAATGTCAAAGAGATTACCTGGTTACCAGCCCCAGATGCAGACATAGTCTGTTCTGAAGGATGAATTATGCTTGGTTGAAGTGACTGAGGAAGTGGAGGCAGCTGCAGCTGCTGCTGTTGTGAAACTGCTTGCATGTTCTGGGTGTGATGGGGAGAGGAAATAACTTCGTTTTGAATTAACTGCTGGAGGGTAGCCTGGTACATTTGCTGCTGGGAGAGCTGGGCTACCGCATGATGTGTTGGCAAAGCTGGCACTCCCGACGGAGCCACAGCAAGTAATGGGATTGGAGCAGCCGGCATATTTGGCACAATTGTTTGGCAGGGCAAGACCAAGGAAGCCATAGTAGTATGAGGAAGATTGACTGCTTGCATGGGTAAGGCAGGGGAGGTTGATGTCAGTGGCAGAGCAGGGTTCACAGGGAGGCTTGGTAAAATCACAGCTGGAGAAAAATACTGAGAAGGAGCAGGTAAAGGGGGCACATTTGCAGCAGGTATGTCAGACAAGTTTGGAGGATGGCTGTCAAGTCCTGTCAGAGGAGTAACTGCAGGAATGACAGGAAACTGAGGAATCTGAAAAAAATATAATATTACATGAATTGTAAGTGTCCCTGGATGGCACTAAATTCATTCATTTGCCTTCCTAGTACAGCTATAATAAATAGTGACCTCTGTTCGTTCTCATGGATCTATTGAAACAGTAAAATTATTCTAGAACACAGAAAACTTGAAGAAAGAAAACTTGAAAGCAGCTTCCTATTGATTAGAACAAAACTGTGACAAATTAAATGTACTTCTGATGCAGTAGTCTGTCACTAGCCACTTCTGCTATGTGTCTGCAGTAAAGACATTTTGCACATATATCAAACAAACCCATGCCCTTATATTTCTCATTAATTTCAGTGGGATTTGTATGCCCATACAGAAGTACTCTCTTACCTGAAGTATAGGAAAACAAGAATTTTGCCTACTCTGAAAGTGCTCTGGTTGTCAATTGCTATTTATTCCGGCTAACTCTTAAACAAAACCCTGCATGCAGCTTGGTGTTTCCCATCAATTAACCTTAAATAGTGTTTCTCAAACTGCAAATAGGGATTATATTTCATACAAGGCATATAAGAATTCAATTGTGTATTTTCTAAACTGTCGCTTGAGAACACATTATAATCACTGGTTGGCAGAACATGGCATTTACGTTTCTGAATGAAAGAGTCTCCGTTACTCCATTTAAAAATAATGGGTTTGGGGAAAGGAGGTGCACAAAGAAATGGGAAACAATCAAAAACATTGCAGCTTGCATGGATAGAAGGAATGCAGTAGATGTTAGAATACAAGAAGTATATCCAGTGGGTTTCTGGATGGGAAGGGAACTGTAGTAACTTTAGAAGTAAGACATAATTTCACAAAGTTTGAGAAATGGGTAACAAATCTAATAAACTTAAATGGGTTTAATATATGCCATTTAAGATATTAAACTCTATTCATATTTTTGAAACTAGATGCAATTAACCCTCTTGTTACAGAAATGCAAACAGGCAAGCACTATAATTAACAGAATTAAAGAACGTTCAGAAAACCCCAATTTAATGCTCTCTATTATATTATAGCTTTTGTGGAAGACAGTCACATGCAAATTGACATGCATATACATTTTATGCATTAAGCAACTCTAATGTTTGGAAACTCGTGTTCTCCTCATTTAATGCATAAGTTTATTCCAAAGTACGTTTTACAATTTAATTTGTTTTAACAGCACTTTGAAGAAAGATTTTGCATTCTTCTTGGATTACTGAACAAAGATATGATCCCAATAAATAATATCATATCCAGTACAAGCATTTTCATTTCTCTTATCCCTTATAATAATTAAGTCACTTTATTTATTTATTTATATCTCACTTTTCTCCCACAGGTGGGACTCAAAGCGGCAAATAAATGATCAAAAAACAGAAATTACATAATAGAAGAGCTCAACATCATCCCCCAACCAAACAAGTAAACAAACAAAACACACAACATTTTTTAATAATCTTTATTCACATTTTTCATATACATATGATTAAAAGGGAGCGATAGTTAAAAGAAAGATAGATCCGTATTGAGAATCAGAAGTAGTAAAGGGGGAGTAAGAGAAAAATGGATAGGAAAGGAGAGTGGTTGGGTGATAGATAGATGTAGGAAAGAAAGGGGTGGATAAGAGTGAGGGTATAGAAAGTCAGAAAGGGAAAGTGTAGAGAGTGCATTAAAAGTAATAGAGACAAAAATTGAGGTTTTCCCCTTCCTTCGGCCTGTCTTCCGGGTGTCCTTAGCGAAGAGTTTCCTTTTCTTTCCTTCTTGTTTTGTTGTTTTCTTTTTTTCCTATTTGTTCAGTTTCTCTTTTGGGTCTTGGAAATATATTTTCTCCCATCCTTAATTTCTGAATCATTTCTCTTTGAAATATTCATCGATTCTTGTCCAATTTGTTTCTTTTTCTATTATTCCTTTGCTTTTCTGGATTAGATAACTTAGTCTGTCCATGTTCTTTACCTCCATAAGCTTCGTCTCCCATTCGTCAATCTCCGGTATTTCCTCCTTTCTCCAATATCTGGCGTAGCATATTCTCGCCGCTGTTGTCGCCAGGAATAATAATTTATCTACATTCTTGTCTGTTTCCTCTTTTGTTATTCCCAGTAAAAATATTTCTGGCGAGAGTGGGATTTTAATCTTCATTATATGTTGTAATCTTTCCTGAATTTCTTTCCAAAATCTTTTGGCTTTTTTGCAGTTCCACCACATGTGGTAGTACGTGCCCGTTGTTTCCCCACATTTCCAGCATTTGGTGTTTAAGTTCTTATAAAATTTTCCCAACTTCTGGGGTGTTAAATGCCACCTATAGAATAGTTTGAGCCAGTTCTCTTTTAGATCATACGCTTTCGTATATTTTAGGTTTTTTTTCCATATGGTTTCCCATTCTGCCAAATTTATTGGTCTCCCTATATTACTGGCCCATTTCACCATACACTCTTTTATTCTTTCTTCTTCCGTGTTCCATTCCAATAATTTTTTGTATATTAATGATATTGTTTTTTTTCCTGGATCTTATAATTTTATCCCAGATATTGTCTTCTTGCATAAAGCCAATTTTTTTATCCATCATGAAAGATTCCTTTAATTGTCTGTATTGCAGCCACGTTACGTTTGGATATATTTTCTTTACTTCTTCTTGGGGTTTTAGGTGTATCTCCTGATCTTTTTTTTCTGTTATAACTCTATAGCAAGGCCACTTTATCCATCCCAGCTCTCTTCTTTGACAGGCTTCTAGGGGTGATACCCATAATGGGGTTTTATTGTAGATTCTTTCTTTATATTTCTCCCACGTTTTTATTACCGCCGACCTGGTGAAATGATTTCCAAAGCCCTTTTCTATTTTTCTTTTTCCGTACCAAATATATGCGTGCCACCCCTTCCTAAGGTCGTGGCCCTCCAGATTTAATTGTTTTTCATTTTCTAGCCTAATCCAGTCGAGTGCCCATATTAGCGCACGTGCTTCTGCGTATATCTCTAAGTTCGGCATTGCCAATCCCCCTCTATTTTTTTCATCTGTTATATTTTTAAAGCTTATTCTATTTTTCTTATTTTGCCAGATAAATTTCCTTATGTCCTTATTCCATTGATTTAGCCCTTTCTTGTTCCTTATGATTGGTAAATTTTGAAATAAAAATAACATTTTTGGTAGAATATTCATTTTTACACATGCTATCCTGCCTAATATTGATAGTTTTCCAGATCTCGTTTGATTTCATTCCATTTTGCCGTATAATTGTTTTGAAGCAATTGTGCATTATTTGGTGAGATAGTAATTCCCAGATATTTTATTTTTGATGCTATTTTGATATTCCATTTTTTCTCAATCATAGCCAATTTCTTCTTGGGGATGTTTTTTGTTATTGCTTCTGTTTTGTCCATATTTAATTTGAAGCCCGCTACCTTCCCAAATTTTTTGATTGTTTCAAACCATTTTGCTAATTTTGTGGATGGGTCCTCAACTATACAAATAACGTCATCGGCAAATGCCCTACATTTGTATGTTTGTCCTCTAATTGTGGCTCCTTTCAGTTCTTTATTTCCCCTTATTTCATTCAGTAGGATTTCCATTGTTAAAATGAAGATCAGAGGCGAGAGCGGGCATCCCTGTCTGGTTCCTTTATTTATTTCAATTTGTTTTGTTTCCTGGCTGTTTACTATAATTTTCGCTTGTTGATTTTTGTAGATAGCTTCTATTGAATTTAAAAAGTAATAGCCAATGTCCATCTCTTGCAATAGTAATTTGAAAAAATTCCAATTAATCTGGTCGAATGACTTTTCAGCATCCAAGGCCAGGAACATCACTTCTTTTTGGATATTTTTGTCGTAATAGTCAATCAAATTTATAATAGTTCTCACATTATCACGTTGGTAACGGTTTGGTAAAAATCCCGATTGTTCTTCTTTTATCCAATTTATTAAAAAAAATTAGTCTCTCTGCCAATATGCTACTAAATATTTTGTAATCCAGATTAAGTAAAGAAATTGGTCTGTAATTTTTGAGTTGTTCAGGGTCTTTTTTCTCCTTTGGTATAATATAGATATTTGCTTGTTTCCAGCTTTCTGGCATTTCCTTCCTCTCTCTTATCTCATTTAGCGTTTTTTTTAAGAAATGGTACGATTTCTTCCATCATTGTTTTATAATAAATTGCGCTCAGCCCGTCTGGGCCGGGGGCCTTATTTGTCTTTAATTTTTTTATTGCAGATTTAATTTCCTCACACAAAACATAACACATTACATAAACCATATTAAATAAGCATAAGAAATAACAACAGTTATCTTTATCATTAAAAATCTCTGGGTCTCTGATAATTTTGATTTTTTTCACATCTGCTTTCCAATTTGGGCTGTTCCATGCAACCATATAACATAGAACATCAAGGTGGATAATCAACATTTGAACTAGGTTATCTGAGTCCACATTGCCATATAACCAGTTCAAAGCAAATAATGTGGGATTTTATACAGCTGTGTGGGCCTATGTCCCAAGAGAAGGAAGATCTCTTGTAGTTTTTGTTGTTGTTCTTAGTGATAATCCTTTTAATACTAATAAATAACAATAATAAACTTAATTTTAACCCACCCTGGGCAACCTCATAAACACAACAGGCTTATAAAATCCATATATATAAAAATAAAAATATAGCAATATAAAAACGTGGCTCTCTAAAAAGTTAAGGCAATATATTCTTGGTCAACATCATCAGACAGGATCTAAGCAATAAAAGCTAATAAAAAGCTAATCATTTTCCTCTCCACAGGCCAAAGTGCAAAAGTGTGTTTTTAGTTGCTTCTTGTAGGAGAGGAGTGAAGAGACTGTTTTGATCTCCATAGGGAGGGAGTTCCAGAGGGAGGGAGTGTGTAAAAGAGATCAACGATAATCTTGGCAGGTGGGACAAGCAATCCCACCTCTAATCACCAGGGTGAAGATGTTAACGTTCAGTTGGACACTACTTTAACAAAGATAATGACTATAGCAAGGGGGGAAGACTCTCTTATCCCACCTCAGTAATATTGTTGAGTGACCAACTGTATTAACGTTGTTAATGACCGATGCAATAGGTAGATTCGCCGCCACCACCTCAATTATATGTCTGAGGAAAACACGAGTGTGAATGTGAAATAGGTAAAGTTTGTTCAAGCCCTTTGTTCTTCTTCAGTAGATGCTTCTTTCACTGACTGGACTGAAATTTAGTTTTCTTTAGGCTAGCTGAGCTCTAATGAGTTACACAGACCGAGGCAGACACCAGTTTAAAGATGAAAATTAGAAACAGGTTTATTTAGACTTAAGGAACAAATCAACTCTTAATAAGAGTGGTACAAAAGCGTAATGCGGTTACTTGAGGCTTAGCTGATTAGACAAGCAGTCTTCCTTTAAGACTTTAACTTTTGTTTCCTGTGAGTTCCTTGCTTCACACTGTTCACCAACTCTGACACAGTGTGTGCCTGAGCACAGCCCACTGACTGCCTCACAGAGCAAAATAGGCTTTCCTACACTGACCCTACTATGTACAGTGTTTCAGGAACCTTTGCCTATCCTATGCTCTAATCTCAAGGCTCACTTCAAAAGTTTTCCCTCCCTGCCTAAAATCTTCTCAGCTCCCTCTTTCTCACTATCCTTCTACACTCTTCGATGTTTAAAGCTCAACTCCCAGCTTGTCAAAAAGATACAGCCTTTTTCCCTCTAAAACCTCACTCCTCCCCTGTCTGCTCTAGCCAATCAGGAGTCGGCTGACTCCTCCCTCTTGCCTCTTAGCTCTCCTGCCTATCTCTGAACATGTCAGCTACTGTCTTCAGGCTTCAGCCTTCCTGGCAAAAGGTTAGATTCATGACAGAGTGATAATGGAGAAGGCCCCCTTTCCCACCAACCACACTTGAGATGGGGTGGAACTGAGAGCAGGGCCTTTTCTGCTCACCGCAGTGTCCGTGTTTATATGCGAAAATGCAGTTAGTTAAATAGCCTGGGCCCGAACAATTTATAGGCAATAACCAGTGGACTGGCAGCCAGTGGAGCTTCCATAACATGGGAATTGTTTACTCCCTATATGGCACTCCCTGGAATACTAGGGGGCTGATTTGGCTCTGCTTTGTTCAGGAGCAATTGTTCAGGGGCAATTGTGTCTTCATATTCCAGAGGTTTGCCACAGCTTCGACAGAATCGCCTACCAAAAAGGCAGGAAAATCCCCAAGAGCCATCAGGAATCCATCTGGATCTTCCTAATTGGTTCTCTCCCCTGCCATCTCCTATTTTGTGCTTACTACTCAACATTTTGATTTTTCAAAAATGCTTGCATGAAATCCAATATGTAGACTGATGAGGATAACAAGAGCAAAAGGAATATACTATAATTTGTTTGTTGCATGGATGTGCCTTGAAGTTGCCTATAGCCATATAGCAATGTCATGTATTTTATAGTATTTTTAAAGCAAGAAATACCAGAGGTAGTTTGGCCAGTTCCTTCCTCTGAAATCTCCCTTAAAGTGCCTGGTATTCGTTGGCAGTCCAAATGCTAATCAGGCCTGATTCTGATTAGTTTCCAAAATCACATAGAAACTGGCACAGTTAGGATATTTAAGCCCTGTTTATGCATTCTACTAAATCCTAAAATTCCGAGCAAAGGAGTATAAAGATGTTATTGAAATCAGTTGACATTCCCATCTAACTATGGGCTCTATGTTTATGGATTGCTGTTCTACCAAGTCACCAGCTGTGATTTGGCTTTTCAGGCATTGCACAGCATCATGACAAGTAGAGCTGGTGATTCAGGAGCATCCTAGAAACAAAACTTGAGAGTTAAGGAAGCTTCCTGTTGATGTGAATAAGTGTGCTACATTAAGCATCAACTACAGTTGCTCTAGTCAAGTAATGCAAATCACAAGCACTACATTTAGCAAAATGGGAAACTCTCTGGTTAGAAATTAATTTTCCAAGCTTTACATTTAACATAACAAAAGAGTTTTTAAAGCTCTGTTTTTTACATGTTTCCAAGCACTGTAGTCCAAGCAAAGAAAGTTTACCAGGCACTGCTTTGAATAGTAAACAGTCTACAGTAGCCACAAGAGGGGTCAAGAACACACAAATCTATCTAAGTGCCCTTCTACACTGCCATATAATTCAGAATTTCAAGGCAGATAATCCACATTATCTGCTTTGAATGGGGTTATCTAAATCTACACTGCCATATAATCCCATTCAAAGAAGATAATCTGGATTTGATACAGCTGTGTAGAAGAGGCCGAACTGTCAAGGGAATGCTCTCATTTTGATATTTCTGCTATTCACCCTGATGACCAAAGACCACCAGGTACTGCAACCTAGCAATCTAATGACAGGAATGATGGGGTTAAACAACCATCATGTATGTGCTATAGGTTGGTCACAACCTATTCAATCCCAGTGAAATGTTTGCTTGATAGGGAATAAATCATTTCATTCATGCTTAAACTTTTAGCCTGCTATCCAAGTAAAATGTAAAATAAGTTTACACAGCAACACACATACTTGCTCAAAAATTCACTCCAGAGGTATTCAGAAAATACCATCTGCTCTCATACAGAGACAAACTTACACAATGATTTTTAGAATTATGAAGTTGTCAAAAGGCTTCAAAACAAACAAGCTTGTACTTTCTCCTTTAATAATCATAGCTGCTCACCTTTAAAACAGTTTTTTTTTTTTAAAAATGGAAGAATATGGCACTGTCACCCTATTAATACGTGGACTGCATACCCTCCAACTGTTCTGATTTGACAGGGACAATTCTGATTAATAAGACATCTTATACTAAATGTTGGAGAGTGTGAGATTGATGCTGTAATTCTACATATTTTAAATTAAATTAAAAGGACTTAGTTTAATAGAGGACTGAATCGTCAATGTAGGTAACAAGCAACCATCGTAAAGTGAAGTGTAAAGATCTTATGCACTTTAAGCAATTGTTCTTTTCTTTATATGTTTGCCTGCATTCTCCCTAGCCCTGTTCTGCCACAGTGTGAATTTGAGCATTTTTCTACTTGCAGGATAATTCTGATGGAACTCTTCATCTAGAAGCCAATAAAAAGAATCTTCATTTGTATTATTACAAAGGGAAGTGAAAACCAGCACACTAAACCAAGAAAACAGTTTTTAAAATGAAATGAAAACAGCTAGGGCTCAAGAATAGTCATAATTTCGCTATCATGCAGAAAAATAAAATGTAAAGCTTTCTGTAATAACTACAGTTTATCCCATTACAAGTTGAAACACAGCAGTTCGGGCAAATTAAACATTAATGCAGAAAAGAGAAAGAAGCAATACCATCTATTCAATGATGCTAGAACCTTGTTGTTATCTCCTTTTCTCTCGCATCCCTCTTTTAGTCATCTGTTTGGGATGCTACGTGTATTTACTTTTTAACAAGGGGTTTGCAAAAAAACTCAATCAAATCCTAAAATGAATGGCACTGATTTAGAACAATCAAGAGGCAGTCATGATAAGATGGATCGGTTTATAATGACACGGTGGTCCAGACATACAACCATACTAAAAGGAAGTTTAGACATTGTATCTTCAAAATGTTTCAAAATAACACCATAGAAGGGAAAACACCAGGGAACAAAAAGAGAGTAACTGATTTTGCTCACTGATACCTTTTTCAATCTAAACCACAAATCTCACCAGAAATCTCCAATCACAGTGTTTATGGGGGAGGGATGGTGACGAATATAAAAACAGTTATCTCCCACTGTCTTTCACTCTTTTGTCATTGCTCCATTGTCTTGTGCTTTTAAACCTGGAAACCTCTGTTTGCCACTTATCCCTGTCATCAAGGTATAGTTCTCCCCAAACAAAAATATTTACTAAATATTTAGTTGTTGATGTTGCTGCTGCTGCTAATAATCATCATTTTCATCCCTAAAAACAGGTCTAAAGGCAATTTGAATTTTGAGGGCTGTAATCTGTTTAAATTATATGATTGTACACATGTACACAAAACTATACTTGAGAACGGAGGAAAAAATTAAATAATAACCATGCATTAAATGCAAAATATGATATGAAAAGTCTGGCACTCAAGGTTGAAGATCTTTATGGAACTCTATGATCAACTTACCTGGGCAGGGGAGACAGATGGAAGTGGCTGCACAGGGGGAATCTGCAGAGGTGCCAGTGGTGTATTGGTAGCTGCCATCTGCGAAGTGGAAGTTTGGTACTGGGGTAACAGTTGAGGTGCAGGTTGCTGCACTGGGCAAATGGGCTGGCTGGCGATAACATGCGGTAGAGGAGATGGAGGTGGGATGGAGTGCTGCTGCAGAGAAAAGAAATGCACATACATTCCCCAAGGGCTTTATAGTGTAGGAAGAAGAGGAAGAAAGAAGCATTACACAATTGTCAAAAACAGTATCCAAAAACTCAATATGGATATGTGCAGAAGCCACAGCACATGTTGTGAATCCCAACTTGGAAAAAGGTGAAATATAATGTCCAACAAATAAATCATGTTCTTTGAGGCACAGGGCTAGGAAAAGCTCAATGTTCTGGGCACACAGAACTGAATCTGTCATACATACAAACATCATAATGGCCATGTTTAATAATTAATACTGTTTTAAGCTTCTGCTCAATTACACAGCCACTTCACACCTAGAGTTGTCTAATTAAAAGTGTTTTCTTATTTCATCAAAATCAGGAAATAGTGGTGTCCATCTTCAAAAGAAGCCAATTTTATGGATTGTTCTAAAACTGATTGCAGTGTTATGATTCTTAATCCAGTGATTAATTTACACTTTTTTATTGTCTGGAGGAACAAAGGGAATGCAGTGAACCTTTTTATATCTTGTCTTATTAAACCAAAATATAATTGTCAGGACTGAACTACTAAAATGTGACTCAAATTGTGTTTAGATGACTGTATTTCAAACATTGGAAGTAGTGTGTAGAACTGGTCCTGCCCATACTGAATGAATCCTATCTATCTATCTATCTATCTATCTATCTATCTATCTATCTATCTATCTCCCCAGCCAGCATTTTAGATTAGCACAATTTTGCATGTTCTTGTGGTTATGGGGCTTTGGCAAATTATGTCACCAAACAGCCCATATTTTCCTCTTTCATCAAGCCCTCACAGTTGCCATTCCATCATGGAAAGAGATGGAAAAGTTGGGGTATCGCTACCATTAGCTCCATTAGCTACTCCTTCCCAAAAGCATGCTCTGTGCTCAGTAACTAGTATTTCAGGTCCCCAGATCACTTGGTCTCCCACCCTTCTTGATTGCTGCGATCAGTGAAAGCAAATTGGGCAGGGCAACAAAAGGGAATTCAAGATGAATGGTGCACATTCAAGAATGCTGTCCATATTTTTAGGATACAGCAAATTAAACTGATCCCCAGAACCTGACCAGATGGAATGCTGGACACTTCCCCAGACTCGACAATAACTGGGGTAACGTGTTAGAATGATTGAAATTAATCTTAGATGAAACTTGAGATCTATATCTCTCTTACTCATTTAGATGAACTGATGCATGTCTAAACACCCCGCCATTTGATTTAAATTCAAGAATTGCATTTGACAATTTGCTAATAATGCTTTCAGTGCATTTGCTATGTACAAGCAGATTTGTAATGTAAATCCCCTAGATTTGCTCAGTAACTTCCTGTAGTGTCAGAAAACAGAGGGCCTCACCTGTTGGCTGGTTAATACAGGTTGCGGTGGTCTCATCTGCACAGGGGCAGCTGAGGTGGGATGGACCACAGGAAAAGGGATTGCTGGTTCTGGATAATGTTGTGGTCGCTGAGAAACAGCAGCAGGTGGAGGCTGAACCACGGGAAGTCCAGGCTGAGAGATAGTGAGAAAAAGCAACCAAGATTTCTTCAGAAAAGTATATCCTACACAGATTATTGGCTGTGATGTGAAGCAGCAATGGCAAATGTCTAGGTGCTCAAGAAGCAAGGTAAGTTAATCAATGGAAATAACTCAACTCAACTGAATAAAGGATATATTGGAGTAACAAACACTGTGGAGTACAATACCTAAAGAGCTTGCATAACTTTGGAAAAAACAATCTTTATAAATATGATATGTACACATAGAAAGAAAGCTACATCAATGTAGTATAATTTTTTTTGAAAAGACCTACTAAGACAAATTTTATCCATTTAAAAACATGCACATGTATATAATGCATACATCAGAAATAGGAAACATGAATAACTCCAAATGTATAAAGAGCTTGTGTTGTTGTTGTTGTTTTTTTTAAATAGTAATGTAATTGCATTAGAAAGGCTTTTAGTAAAATGCTGTATTTCAAAACTTGTAGACTGCTTCAGGAACCTTGTGCAAAGTTATGAAGAAAAAAAATGGCAGAATGCTGAATAAAAAAGATGTGGAATAAAAGAAGTTGCTAAAACAGGGTGGAAGAACTAGGTCCCTCCATGTATTAAAAGTCCAGCACCTGTAATTTCTGACCAGTAGGTATGCGGCCTCATAAGTGCTGAATTGTTACATGCTGAAGCCAAGCAACTTTTGCAGCACCACATGTTTTCCTCACCCCGTTTTAAATCTTATATAGCTACAAAATGGAAAATATTTTTGTTGGGACTTTTCTATGGGATTACAGGATAAGCTGCAGAATCTTGATTGAGCAGCTAGCAAACCTAAAATACAAGCAAGACAAACGAAACACTTAGAGATCTCAAGACTGTGTTATTTCAATATGCCAGCAAAGCTTCTGTAGACTTCTATAATATCATATATTGGGGAGTGAGAAAAAATCAAGCTAATTGCTAGTCTTTACAAGAATAATCATATTTAATCAATTTCTGTATCCTAAATCAAATCTTATCCTATATACTAATGTATGTCTAGAAATGTAGTCAAAAATTCAACCTAAAAACCCTGGGTCAACTTATCCACAGCTCAATATAAGTATCATACTCTGAGTAGAATGGTAAAAAGTGAAAGCTCAATCCATCCTGGGAGAACCTGAAAGATGCATCAATCCATCATGGTACCATTTTTGGCCCTTTTCAATTCCTGGGTATACTGTGGCAATGGCTGCCAATAATAGCTGACTTCCTGAGATGATGCTGGTGGTTTCCACTCTCCACAGGCCATATTAAAACTCACCATTTTGGCATCAAAGCCTGCCCACAACTTATACACAGTCAATTTTATACATGAGTACATATGGTATGTAAAGCAACAAAATTGTATTAGCAACTGAATATTAAGCAAAATACTATTTTTATGAAATGTTATTTCCCTTTTCAGCTATCATAAGTTCTATGTTCCTTCCAAATGAGAAAAGAAACAGAAATTAAGAAAACACTGGAGTGACCCCAAAATACCTACATGTTGAGTTGGTATCCTCTTACAAAGCTAAAAGGTTTCATAAGGAGAATCAACAAGATAAAAATAAAACCTACAAGATAATGTATTTATATGAAGACCTGCTGCAATAACAGCAACAGCTGTTTCAGCTGAAACTTATGCAAGGAGCCTCCTATTAATACTGACATTTGGTGCATTTTCCACCTTTTGGATTAAGACAGTGAGGCTATTGTGAAATGTGTGGGACCATCTATGCTAAGTCTAGGTAAGGTTTATTACAGACATTTTAGAAACAAAGGGGGAAAGCCTTTTGAGATGATTATTCTCCTAAGTGGAAAAGAGTGCAAGAAATTCCAAGTACTACATTACTGCTATATATATTTATTAGCTAGGATGCTAATAAATTATTTTATTACACTGAAATTTCACTGTTTAGCCGGTATTGCACCACCTGACATCTGCCGGGAAGTAGCAGCCAATAGTGAAAGGACCAAGGCAGTGACATCTCCAGCTCATCCTCTGTTTGGATATCAGCCAGCATGCCAACGACTTAAATCAAGAAATAGTTTTCTAAGATCTATAGAGACACTCGGAACACCTCAGCAAGCGAGAGTCCAAAAGTGGCAGGCTCAAACCCAGAACCTCAATCAATGGCTGATACCAAATGAGAGACTCCCTCCTGGGCACACAGAAAACTGGGCGACTTGGAAGGCGCTGAACAGACTGCGCTCTGGCACCACAAGATGCAAAGCCAACCTTAAGAAATGGGGCTACAAAGTGAAATCCACGACATGTGAGTGTGGAGAAGAGCAAACTACAGACCACCTATTACAATACAACCTGAGCCCTGCCACATGCACAATGGAGGACCTTCTTGCAGCAACACCAGAGGCACTCCAAGGGGCCAGATACTGGTCAAAGGACATTTAATCAACTACCAAGCTTGCAAACTTTGTATTTTGTCTGTTTGTTTGTTTGTTAAAAAATGCAATACAACTGTTCGGTCTGCTCTTGACACAATAAATAAATAAAGCTAGGATGCTTCCATTGCTTTGCCCAGCTTGAGTCAAGTTGCCATTGTGTATCAGTGCCATTTTATTTGGACTAAGTTTCTGACAGGAATGGGTTTGTTCAGGCATGTTGACTTATTCACAGGCCTTTTTCCATGACATATGAGGTTCCCAAAGGAACAGAGCCGATCATGGGTAGATTAATTAATTCTAATTAGGTGCTGCAATGGTTGATTTAATAACATAAGGTATGAATTTTGCCCAACTTGCTTGCTTCATGAAGCATTTAAAATACACAGTCTTCGCCACAGAGAAAAGAAGGAATATGTATGGCACATTTAAGATGTATTAATAATTCAGATTTGTTCAGATTTGCTCCAGAATGGAGGAGTCAGGCCAAGCATTCACGACAGGAAGGTATAATGATCAGAATTTGAAGACCTCTGTAATCCTAGTAGCTGTGATTCACTTGATTCATCATCCTTTTCTTGCAATCATTTTAGATTTGATCCCAGCAGTTCTACTGCAAGAGGCATCACATTTGGTGTCAATGCTACCACTGAATCACTATGGTGACAGCAGCTACAAAACTGCTTGGCATCACAGGCAACAAATACTTGTTAGTACAGAAGCACTGTGTTCCCAGTGGTCTCTCAGGAGTCACATTTGTCATTGGAAAAAATGAAATGTTCATGTTCAATCGCTTGTAATTCCTCTTCCAGTGCCAGTTCCATTAATTCCATTAGGCCAGGATTATTATAAAAGGAATATGAAATAATGTATGGATGCCTTTCTAGGTATGCTAGATTTTTGAACTTCTACAGCAGACATGCTTCTTTGTCTCTGTGAAGTATTAAATCCTGGGACTGAGCTTACAGAGGTACTAAACAGCTGGTTGGTTTTTCACACAGCAGGAAGAAATATCTGACATCAAAGGTTCTTGAATAAATGAAAAAGTAATAATATATAGCTGTATAGATGGCAAGAAAACACAATAAATGAAACAATTTTCAAAACAAGAATGTGCAGTAATTTTAATCTAATCACAGTTAAATTAATAAACATATATGTGTTAAATTTAATGTACTATTCTAATTTTTGTTTGTTAGAGTGAATTATGTAAAAGAAAGAATGCACTGTAGTAGTCATATGTTTTTGTGCCACTAATTCATATATACTGGGAAGTAGGAGTACAGATACAGAGCCTGAAATATTAAGATTTTTTTCCAATGATGTGAGGAGAGACATTATACTTACTACTGAAGGCTGCTGGTAGTGTCCCACTTGCTGAAGACCAGGGGGCAAAGCTTGGCTTTCACTGAGAGGGGGGCTATAAACCCGCTGAATAGCAGGAGGTATTGCATCAGGCATAGAGGAATAGACAACACTTTGCTGGCTGCTATGGGAGTCTGAATACACTGTTGATCCTTGACCACTGTCAAATGTGCTGTCAGCTGAAAAATGAAAAATTAAGAATGGCATTAAAAATCAAACTAATTAATTTAACAAAGATATGTTCAGGAAATAAATTTTCCTGTCACCAACCCCCAAACATTGACATGGGTTTAGCAGCCATCTTGCAAACTGGAATAACATTTTGCAATGCCTATTGTGTCTGTGATACACACTGCATGGCATGCTTCCACAGCAAGAGTCAGCAACTGTGGATGTTGTAGTTTTAGGCATTCTTTTGCTTGCAAAACAAGTCATAAAACTGGGATACTAGCTTTCCTGTGAACCTGGGGAAATATTTTCCTTTGGTTTATCTCCTTTACAATTTTTCTTAATTTCATGCTCACCCAGAAACATTTGCATCTAGAATCCAGAAGTATTAACACTGAGAATTTTGTACTGACTATATTACTGGTGGCCCCATCACACTAGAAAAAAATCCACTTAAAATCCTGTTCCTGCCTCCTCCAGAATTCTGGTGTTTGTAGTTTAGGAAGGAGCCTTTAACAACCTCACTAAACTACAAACCCCAGAATTCTCCAGAAGGCAAAGAGTGGATTTTAAGTGGATTTTTTTCTCTAGTGTGAAGATACAGGTCTATTATTAAAGAACCCTTTGCTACTGAGGAGTGGGAGGAGGGAGGACATGTGTGTTCCCTCATACATTCATTTACTTGTGTATCTGAAAGGGAAAAGGGATGGGATGGAAAAACAGGAGGAAGGAGGAGGAGTGGAAAGAGGAAGAATGTGTATGTTTCTTCACTTGGTCAGAAGGGAGGGTTGATGGAATGGGTGAGCAGGAGGAGAGAGGATGAACAGAGGGAGCAGAATGGGGAGAAGGAAAGAGCTATAACGGACAGATGGGATGGGAATGGTGGCAGGACGATGACAAATGAAAGTATTTACTAAAATTTATAAAATCCTATAACACGCATGCATGTGCAGAGCTTGTTTAAAAAATAGCTATTATTTCTATATTGAAGAATGTATTTAAGATAAACAAACATCTGAAATCCAATAGCCTATTTCACTCAGCATCTCCCAATGGTCAACCAGAAGCCTAAAGGACGACCACAAGCAGGACATGGGGACAACAGCTATTTTCTAAAGTTTTCCTCCCAACAAACTGTTTTCATTCATGCAGTCTCCAGTCCTGGAGACAGCATAGAGCAATTGATATTCATGAGCTGAATGGGGTTCTTAGACCCTCAGTTTATAATTGGTATCTTGTAAAATCTACAGTTTTACTATAGTTACAGCAGAGTTGATATTAAAAATCTCACATGCCTATTTTTTAAAAGATACTATACTCTTTTAAAATAAGACATATTTTTATAAAAGAAAACTTTCTTCATCCACTGAAAAACAGACCCTTCAGTAGGAGCTAAAATCAGCGCTGGATTTATACCTACATTTGGGAAATAAATTTCTTCCAACTTTGGGAAATTGAATTTTGTGTCACATAGGTTTGAGTCAAATTTACCCTTCACTTATAAATATTTTTCAAAGTTCACTTCAACCTTTTTTTTCCAGATTTGCTCTACACTTTCTTTATATTATAGCAAAACTCTTCAAGTTCCGTTTATAAGCTGTTCTGACTTATGGTCAACCTAATGCTAACTTTTCACAGGGCTTTCCTAGCAAACTTTTCAGAGATTTTGCCTTTGACTTCCTCTGAGGCTTGGGCAGTGTGATTTGTCCCAACTCAAGTGATGGGCTTCCATGGCCAAGGAGGAATTAAAAATCCTGGTCTCAAGAAGTGTAGTCCAATGCTCAGACCACTATACTACTCTGGTTCTAGCAAAACTCTAGGTATGTAATAATGCAGAGTTGTTTCTAATATTGATAAATCTAATCTCATTATAGAAATTATTTGTAACCACAAAGGGAAAAAAGAGTTAAAAGCAGCAGCTGGAAGCCAAGCCTCTATTTTTAATGGTTCATAATGTTATACAGAGACACTAAATTATTTATCTGTGTTTCTGCCCTCTTTGAATATCACAGGCAGCAGAAAGGAAATTATTTATAGCGGTTTTAGAAAGAAAAGCACTGTGCAAAGATCCAATACAGCATATGATACCGATGTTCTAAAGTCGTAGGACCAGACATCAATTTATTTTTAAACATACACTTATGCCTTGTAAACAGCTAAAGTATATCATCCATATGCTGTGAAATAAAAAAACCATAATTTGAGTTTTTTAACTGTTTTAGTTAAAATGCACATAGCTGTTTGAGATGTAGTTATTAGAATATAAGCCAATTTAAATAGGTTTTACAAAACTAGAAAATTAGAGTTGCCCATTTCAATTAAACCTGGATTAGTATGATCTTGGTCAAATACATTTTAGCTCATTAATATAGTAGCCTGAAACTGTGAAATTGTCTTATGCTGACAAGTGGATCCAGTGATGACCCAGTCTACTTCTTGGCATAGTTCAGGTGCTTTATAACAGGAGTGGTAATTGTGTACCCTCCAGATAGTATTGGACTTTCAACACCACAGCCAATGGCAAGGAATGCTGTGAACTGCAGTCCATCAACATTTGGAGGAACATACAATTCCATCTATAGCCAAGGCATTGGGTCAATTGCAGTGTGTAAAGAACTTCTTGCCCGTTTGTACACTCTCTATGAAGAAGAGGGAGTCCATTTCAGAGTAAAACCATCTTGATCAAAATTAGTGGAAAAGAAAGGGTTGAGAATTAGAAAGAACCAATGATCTTCTGATTGGTTCTCAAGCATAAAGTGTATGTGAAGACCTACACAACTGAGCATGGACTGCTGCAGCAGTAGCAATGATATGAGTCACAATTTATACAGCAAATGACTAAGGTAGATGCTTGAGTATGCAATTTGTAAAAATAAACAAACAACCTGATCTCTTGTTTAATTTGTTAACAAAAAACCTGGAAGTTTTTCCATTAGATTACATAGCCCAATCAATCTTTTTTTCCTACTCCTTTTGTCTCACTGTAACTTTCCTGCTGTGCAGTCCACATATGTACTGGCAGGGTAACATAGCCCACACAGTTCTCCTAAACTTCAATTAATTTCTGTGTATTCTTCACTGTAAATGCACAAGTCCCTTGGGCAGTTAGAGCCTCTAACGTAAGTAAAGGCAGACTCTCAGTTCAAGTCAGAATCTAATACATAATGGAAAACCTCTACCCTTCCCTGCCATCCTGCAGTTCCAGAGGCTGCCTGAAAACCAGCCCCAGGGATTTTCTTGGTTCAATGGAGCATGTTTTTGGGGTACGTGAAGGGGTCTGATTTGGGGACGGAGGCTGTCATGCTTCTGTTGGAATTGCCAGTTGAAATCCTGCAAGCAATTCCCATACGGACAACAAGCACACATGAACAGAATACTTACATGCAAGAGAAGTGACGCTTGTGTGAAGATTCTGCTGAGAAAGGTGCTGGTCAGCTTCAGGCTCTTCTGGTTCAGACAAGATGTGATGACCAGTATGAGAAAGGTAAGTACCCTGAACTGGTTGTGCTTGTGGGGCCTTTGATTTTTCTGAACTCTCAAGATCCCGTTGATCCTCAGGTTGTAACATAGGACAAATTCTTTCTCTTCTCCACAGTATTAATGCTACCCTGTCACGTATTGACTTTGCAACTATTTTGACATCACTCTCGTGAAAAAATCCAGCTTCAACCTGAAAGAAAGCCATGACCGATTTTCAAAGATGAATCCACATTAACACATAGGGTCATTCACAACAGTAATTTCATAAGAGATTTAGGATACATTAATTACTGTTCCTTTAAAAAACAAAAATGAGACGCATTACTGTACAAATCTTATTTTACATAAGGAGTAATTTGTGTGAGCAAAAACTATTCTATTCAAATATATGTAACCTAACCATTTTAAAATCACTGGTTACATGTAAGATCAGTCACTAATAGGAAATGTTTTTTTTTTCAGTCTGTGCATAACAGATGGCTGAAAAGGAGGGAGTATTTTTAGGAATAATTAAAAACAGTACAAAAGAGAATGCACAAAAAAGTATAGAATTGCTACAAAAGAGACAAAACTTCAATTCCTGAGCATACTAAAGCTATCAAATATTAGAAGTACACATTGCCTTTATATCTGGCAACTATACAATTCACATAAAGCCATATGTCTGCTTCTTTAATAACTAAAGTGAGAAAATTCCAAATTGAAATGTAAGTTTAAAAATCTGTAGAACAAAGGTCTACAGAGATTACCTGTGTGTCAAGTCTATCAATATAAATAAATAAATAAATAAATAAATAAATAAATAAATAAATAAATAATATACATTGATTGGGTTGTTGCAGGTATTTCGGGCTATATGGCCATGTTCTAGAAGCATTCTCTCTTGAAGTTTCACCTGCATCTATGGTAGGCATCCTCAGAGGTTGTGAGGTCACCTGATGCCTGCCACAGATGCAGGTGAAACTTCAGGAGAGAATGCTTCTAGAACATGGCCATATAGCCCGAAAAACTATGACAACCCAGTGATTCCAGCCATGGAAGCCTTTGACAATATACATAGATTGATATGAAACTATGTTTAAATTGCACTGCTGAACATAATCATTTGTTTTATGCAACTTTGCACCTGAGGACTATTTTATAATTTCTTCTTTACAAAATAATCTTTGTGTTTGAATCAGAGATTATTCAATCCAATAGATGGATCATAGAACAAGTAATATACCAGCTGGGTAGCTTTTCCAAATATAGCCTGATCACGCAGCAATTTTAGAAATACTTAGGAAAGAAATGTTTGAACAGAACCATCTGAGACCTACTTGCTTTTCGGAAAGCCTGTAAAACTTTTCTTTTCCAGCAAGCTTTTGACGGGTTAACAACCCGGACTATGCCTGTTCTCGCCATCTATTGTTTTGTTATTGTTATTTTTAAAGCTAATTGTATTGTTTCAATCTGCTTCTGTAAACCGCTCTAAGTCAAATTGGGAGTAGCGGTATACAAGTTAAATAAATAAATAAATAAATAAATATTTTTAATTTATTATTTATTTTTAATGATAATCTTGTTAATGCTTATCGGGAGCAGTATACTATTAATGTGTTAATGTGTCATTAATTTTCTAAGAAAGCTATGTTAGACTATATCAAAATGAAAAACAAGAGGTGGAAAACATTTGGAAACATCTTTAACACTAACAATTTACATGCTAGCATACACTTTCATGAATTACAACTAACCTCAGATCTATTACTATTATGTGTCTTTGACTCTTACTTATGCTGATCTTATAATAGGCTTTTCTTAGCAAAAATCTGTTCAGAGGGGCTTTGGCACTGTCTTCCTTTGAGGCTGAGAGGGTCAGCTGGGTTTACAGGGTTAACTAGGGATTTGAACTCTGGTCTGCTGTGTCCCTAGACCAATGTTTAAAGCACTATATATAATATATCCTATATGTTTTCAGCTACTGAAATATTTTATTTACTTTAAAAAAAACCCACCCCATGATTCCCCTTAAAGGAAATGTTTTAGGAGTAAGTGTCAGTTAATTTGTTAACATTGAACATGATGTTTGTGTGTCTGCAAGTCATTTCTGACTTGTGGCAACTAACCTAACACAAAACTTTCTTGGCAAGATTTTTCAAGGGAGACAGGGCTCAGCAAGTTTCCATGGCTAAATCCTGGTCTCCAGAGCTGCACTCCAAAACTCAAACCACTATATCAGTGCTATTCCCCATCCCAAAAAGCATCATATACACTTTTTATTCCCAAAACTAAGATGTTCAATGTAAAGTAATTTAAAATATATTACTTTTAAGATCTATGAAACTGGAACATGTAAATGAGCACTATCAGATCACATAAATGACACTGTAAGCATATTCTCCTGATACCATTTCAAGAGCTTTCATGGAAATGTTCTTTTTAATCTTAAATTAAAGTCAGATTTAAGTAATGTCTTTCACACAAACAGAAAACAATCAAACCACTTGCATATTTATGGTAGGGTTCATCATGTGAAATTACTAATTTAAATATTTGTAAGATCTTCTTCAGCTGGAGCTAAATGAGCAAAACCAAAATTACTCAATTTCAAATAATTTGGAAACTTCAACTAAGTTGTCTAAAATAAGTTTATATTGATATAAAATTGGTGAACTGTCTTCAATTGTTATAAGATAAAGTAAATAAAATAATTGCATACATTATCCTACCTACTCAAAACAGAAAATCGCTTTTCAGCCAGCTGCTAGGCCTTATTTAGAGAAATTGGCCTGTTTTCATCATGAAATATAGGTTGGTGAAAGAGACAGGACACAAAACAATTTTTGCCCATTTCTGAAGAGTACACAGAGCTTCTTTGGTCTTATCAGTGCAAACTGACTGATCCATACTTTCTACTGGCAATTTCACCAAGATATGAGCTAAACACATCAACACTGTGGTCAACCCATTTGAGACCTTTGGATATACAAGTCAAATTAATTTCAGCTAGTAAGTAAAGGAACACAGAAAGCTTTTATGTGAGGAATCTATTGTTCTTATTGATTTATGGGTTCAGACACATTTGAACAGGGTTGAAATAATTAGGACTATTCTGGATCAAGTTAGATGGACAGAAACCTAATAACTCAGTCCTAAGACTAGCAGTAGGCAAATTGTAAAGGATGATGTGGCTCCCAAAACGATTTCTGCAGCCCACAGGCTCCTTGTCATTGAAATCTGACCCCAATATACACTGACAAATTTCACCAATGACCTGGTTGTAAAGATCCAAGCATTTCCTTTGGGAAGTTTTTTCTTCCCTGGTTTGCTCCCCAAATTCAGCAGCGAGGTAGGAAAGCAAGGTTTTCTTACTTCCTTCAAGATTTTTTTTTGCTGGTTTGCTGCTGAAAGTTGATATGGAAATTTGTCAACAAATTAGAGGATGCAGTTCATGCTGGTTCCAAGGATGGGGAACGATATAGGTGAACAGCCCAAACTCTCTGTACCTATTTAAAATCTGATGTTTGAATAGTGTAATACTAATCCTCCTAGCATGCTACTATGCTCACAAATTACACTGAATCCAAGATTTTAAAAATCTCATACAAATTTGCTTATTCCTGATCCAAAGGTTTGGATTTTTAGATAAGAATTTTGACCTGGGTTTAAGTAGACAGCCTACAAATCAGAGTTCAAGTGAGATGTTTTCCAAACCATGAAAACAGTATCCAAACCCAGTATTATGGTGAGTGCAAATTCTTGATTATTCTTTTCTTTTATCAGTTTTTCAAAAGTGTGAGACATGCTCATTTAATAACAACCTATTATTCGTGTGTGTGTGAAACAACTCAGCTGCAAACATGATAAAAATTCTCCTAACGACATATCTATTCATCCATATTGGTGCCAAACCTTACATAGTTCTCAATTTTCACCATTTTAAAAGAATGAATTTAGCTGTATTTTATATTTCTGTAGGAAATGATACAAATGGTGCAGAATCTATTCTGGCAGCTTAAACACAAAACGTACAGACACAATTATTGCTGTGAAAATTCTGAAGTCAAACAACGAGATTTTTATACTTAAGTACCAATTTATACTTTTTTAATGGAAAACTGCTTTCCAGTTTTGAATAAACTGAATTTTAAAGTATATATTTGAAGTATATATAAACCAAATACAGGGACATCAACTGTCTTCTGTTTTCCAACTACAATATCATTATAGTTTTAAACAAATATTCTGTGCTGAAATTTTTTAATGAAATTTACTTTACCAGATTAGCTCCTGGTGTCCTTTGAGATTTTAAGTACTACTTATATACTTTTTTTTTGTCAGGAGAAGTTTATTTTACCATTTCTTGTGCAACATCATCAGGAGTTTCCTTCTCCAGATCAAAAGTAAACTCAATGGCTCCATTATCTTTGGGTTTTCCTTTCAGTTTCTTAGGATCTTCTACCCAGAGTCTTAAGGCAATAGAGGATTTCCTACCATCATCTTCTTCTGCAAGTTCCACTCTTACCCCAGTATCTTCAGCAAAAAAGGCATGGCTTAGCAAATCTTTAATTTCGTACCTGGAGAAAAAACAAACTGAAAAATCAGAGTAAAGTCACAACTGATTTCAGGATCATTTTTCGAATAATAGAAGCTGAGTTGGAAGGGGTCACAAAGGCCATCCAGTCTAACTTCCTGCCATACACAAGCAAAGCATTATTGACATGTAGTTACCCTTTGTTTATGTATGTTTTATTAAGGGCATGTGTCTTAGAGGATATGCATGTCTTATGATTACTATTGAGCAAAAGAAAAAATTAAAGGGCATAAAGGCTGCCTTCATCTTTAAAGAATTTTGAATAATTCAATGCAACCATACTCAAAATGAAAATAATCAACCCCCTTGGTTGACATTCTGACCAGATACACTTTTGTATTTTTTGGACTCAGTTTGAATTTGTTAATCTACATCCAATCTTCCACTCAGGTGCTTCTGGACTTTCCACGCCTTCATGAGTGGGGTGGTGACATCTACTCTCTCTGTTTTCTGTAGGCCTCACCTTTCCCTTCACAGGCATCTCATTGCAAAATGGCAGTGTTGTTGCATCGCCCCAGCAGCATGGCGGTGGCATTGAATTAACAGCGTGTCTCCCCGTTCCCAATTCCCTGCTACAGAAGTTATATGTTTCTACTGTATGGGATGTGACAGAAAAGATATACAGAACTTAATATGATCATATTTATCACTATTGACAGATATCAACCTGTCAACACAAGATAAAGTACAACACAAGGTAAAAGTAATTGTGAATAGAACATAGACACACACACACCCCTCCCTGGCTTTACACAGATGGTAAATTACAGTTGCATTATGATAAAATTTTGGAAGACACTACAAGGTAAAAGTAATTGTGAACACCAAAAATCTTTTGAGTTTCATCTTCTAGAATCTATCCCTAGAGAGTAATGAAACTAGTGTACATTTCCTCCAAATCTCCTTTCAGAAATCACTGAAAGATCTGTTACACACTTGACCTGTAAATTATCCAACATAGTAGCAAAAATAATTTATATCCTTCGAATGTTGAGAAACAATATTGAAAAGTATCATGCACTAAGTTTAAACCAGGAAAACATATGAAAAAAAATTCTAAGAACCTCATCAACTTAAAATTTCTTCCCTACCCCCAAACTTTTATCAGTTTGTTCCAGTCAAGCAATTGGTTCAAACCAGTTTGATTTATTGTTTTAAATGTAGCAGAAATGTATTATATTAAACAAACCTTTCTTCTTTATTTTTGCAAATGCACTCTCCAATTATCTCCTTAATTTCAGGGTCAGTAACCTTATCAAAACTTGCTGGTTTGACACCCTGTAAGAAGGAAAAAGCATCATCAGCTCTGTGTAATCCTCACCATATTCAAAATAGATTTGAGTTCACTCAAATCAGGTAGACCTCCATTATCCATGGTTTCACCATCCATGGCTTTAAACCCACCCCAATCAAATTTCATTGCCATTTTGAATTAATTGGATAAATCATATAAGATCTGTTAAAAATGTTTGAGATGCATTACAATTCAGATACATTTTGTATATCTTAATTGTTTACATTCCAAGGGTTTAAGAACTGCTAAGGAAACAGTGGTAACTTGTAGAAATGCATCATGACTAATAAGAAGAACATTAACACTTGTGTCAAAAACACATAAAAGTGATCTAATAACCAGGCTAAAACAGCCTTCTCCATTTTCATGCCCTTCAGATGTATTAGACTATAGCATTCACCTTCCTCAGCCAGAACAGAGTTAATGAGAACTGTATTTCAACACATCCAGAGTGCGAAGTGGGAGAAACTGGCCTACAGTGATAAATATGCTATGCAACTTTTTTTACTAGACAGATCGACTCCATGTCTACATTTATTTATAAACAAAATATTCAATTCTACATTCAAGTGTTTGTAGCATTCAATTGTCCCACCATGGACAGACTTAGAACACATTTATGTGAAGCTGTGAAAGCATACTTTGTTTCATGCAGATATAATCACTTTAATGAAAGAGATCCATTCTAGGCTATTTACAAAGGATATTAACAAGGCTCTGGCATGGCTGTAACTAAAAAATGCTGAAGAAATATGCCCAAGAAAGCAAGGATTTTGTCATACAAAAGAAAAGTACTAATGTAAGAGTTATAAAATTACTGTTTTCCTAAGATTTAAGGACAACATCCAAAAGTTAAGCAAGAGACTCCTGCTTCGACAACAGGACTCCCTCATTCTCTTCTTTTCCCTGTACCCATCATGAACCCACAAAATTTTCTCTAGATAGGCTCCAAACTTTGATAATAGAACAGAGAGCTGTTAGTAGGGATGAGGATCGGCTTCACATTACTATCCATAACAACAACAACATCAACAACAACTTTAATCAAACACATACAAGTAATATTTAAGCTGTTGAACCTATTTGTAAAGTAAGGCCTAGCATCTTCAATAGCTTTTTAATAGTTTGGACTAGAACCAAAAACTAACCATACCACTGTCACTGGAACCATCCGCTCTTTCTGGAAAACACACAAACATCCAATAAAGTAACTTTATATCACACAGCATACAACGACATACCCAGAAATCTCTGTCATTAGTCCTTCAAGTTAATTGATCCTGCCAGTCCATGCAACATTCCCAAGATAATCCCACAGTCATTCCTTTGTTGTTGTTGTTGTTCATTCGTTCAGTCGTCTCCGACTCTTCGTGACCTCATGGATCAGCCCACTCCAGAGCTCCCTGTCTCCTGTCGACATAGTCATTCCTACGGTGTCCTAATTGGCTTGAGGGAATCAGGCAAAGTATTCTGGAGGAATTATCTGCCTTTATTAAAATCTATGGGAGGGATTTAGAAGTCAATCTAAGGAAAATTCTTATTAAGTGTACTCTGCCTGCTAAGGTACAAACTGAGGGTTACAATGCTACAGTCTCAAACATTCGTGGGACATATTTTTGTAGCGATTCCGGCCATGACAGCCTTCAACGACACATTTATGGAGCAGCTAGCTGCCAATAATGGAGAGACAGGTAAACTGATTCACTTCAGTAGAAAGAAGATCAGCAATCCAAGTGTAATTACTTGTGTGGGCTTGCGCATGGAAGAAAGAAGGGAGCACCACTGGGGATTTCACTACCCTCCACGCATAAATATGAAAACATAAATGGACATTGATAACTTCAGCAGCAAGTGGTATAAGAATGTTCAAGCATTCACAATAATATCTTGATACGTATATGCTGAAAGAGTTAACAATAAAAAACATACTCTGAAAGAGAAAATGCCCATATTTATGAAAAATATCTCTACTTACACAGGTTACTTTTCTGTAAATTTGAGCAGCATTCTGGCATTCTGAATACGGATATTCTGAGGTAGCCATTTCCAACATACACATTCCAAAAGCATATACATCCACTGATTCATCATAGTGTTCTTCATACATTTCTGGAGCCATAAATTCTGGAGTACCTAAACACAAATACACAGTTGATTAGTATACAGACATCAGCACATAAGAGATCAAGTCTTCCATTTCCATATTACAAACATCAAAAAGGATGGGTTGTTGTAGGTTTTTCGGGCTATATGGCCATGTTCTAGAAGCATTATCTCCTCACAACCTCTGAGGATGCTTGCCACAGATGCAGGCAAAATGTCAGGAGAGAATGCTTCTAGAACATGGCCATATAGCCCAAAAGACTACAACAACCCAGTGATTCCAGCCATGAAAGCCTTTGACAATACATCAAAAAGGATCCTAAAATCTATCAATCTGAGAACGCCTGTGCAAGCATGTGAATATAGACACATTCAGCATTGAAGTAATTGTAAATACTGGGTTGGCTCAAAGGTGCCATTTTCCATGCTAAGGAGATTTTTCCATGGAGAGGAGAACTGTCTTACTCGGGTTTTATACATTTGCAAGGAAAAGCAAGTAAATCCAAAGTTTACAGATGATCTTCCACCTTACACTACTACAGACATAGCAGCTGCTTTAGAAGTATCTAAATATTATAGTGCTGGGTGAACACTTGAGATAATTACTGTGCAAGGATTAGAAGAACAGGGCTACTGGCTGTTTCCTTTGAATCAAATGCCTATATTTTACTCGCATGCAATTTACTTTTACAATACAAGTACGTTGATTTCCAATTTTTTGCATTTGTGCCCTATCCCTGCTCCATTTCCACCTCTATTAAGGTAAACTGAAATGAAAGTTAGTGGCCAATAGTTGCTCAGAAAACATTGGAAGGCATTATCATCTCACAATCTACCATGAATAAATTTATTTGTGCTTCTCTGCCTTGGGCTTTCAATTATAGCACATTTGACACACACAAAAAAAAGCTAAGTGTAGTCCTGGCCTTACCTCCTCAAGATACAAGCAAATTGTGGTGCATGACAAGGATTTGAAGAGTAACAACACACTGTTGCAGAAACTAGGGCTCTTCAATATTGGCTTCATGTTCCATTAAATAACACTTTAAGCTCAATAATTAAAGAAGTATTAATTAACAAAAATAAGTTAAAGCTAATAAGAAACTTATTAAAGCTTATTAGCATTCTCCATACACAAAGCTAGTATTTTAACTGATGTACAACATTCACCTTCATTATAATTATGCCATTTTGACACTATGAGGAAACATTAATCACCATTCTGTGCCTTTCTGACAAATAAACCCAATGGGAACTACATAAACTATATCTATTGACTGACACAAATCTGAGTACTGAAGAGATATTTTAATTATTGTTTCAAAACTGAAAGTCATTTACAACCTCACAAAGGCTCCCTTTATGTACAAAGATAGAAGAAAAAACAAAAGGAACAGAGATCAAATTAGTACAAAATAAAACCCATTGAGATAGTGAGCAGCAGCTTGGTAATTGAGGCACTACAGTTTTGTTGAACAAGCAATTAACAAAGCAACATTCTTCTCCTTGAAGGCATATAATTCATTGACAATAGCAAAATGTCAATAAAAAAGTGTTCAAGACATTGTCCCACAAAGCACATTTAGCAAATTATCAAACATGATCTAAAATGTGTCATGTGTAAGGATTTGGATAAGTGAGAATCCATAGTACTTTGGCCATGGTGTAACAGTGATGTACATATGGTTTTCTTCAAAACATAGAGGTTAAAAAGTGCTTCTGCATTGGCAGAAAACTCTGTGATGGAGATCACAAAAGTTAAAGCTCAGTACTGGAAGCATTTCCTCACAGAAATAAGACCTTTCAGGGCCCTTCCACACAGCCCTATATCACAGAATATCAAGGCAGAAAATCCCATAATATCTGCTTTAAACTAAGTTATCTGAGGGTGCATCCAGACAGCCCCTTTATTGCAGTAACTCCCACAATAAAGAAGGGGCTGTTCAGATTATGTCCTGGACAATTCCAAATTAATTCGCCACAAACCAGGAAAACCCTGGTTTGTAGCAAATTATTTAGATAATGGATTTAGTCCATGCCTTCTTGGAAGGCACAGGATAAACCCACTATTTCCAGTCTCTGGACTGCAGTCCAGACACCATTCCCACAGTTTTCCAGACTAAATTAGTCAGGAAAACTGTGAGAATACCCACCCCTCCCCCAAAGACCCTAAACTCCTTTTAAAACTAAAGAAAACTTACCTGGCCTCCAGTACAGTCTTGCAGGAGCTGTCCCGGTTAATAGAAATGATGCACCAAGAGAGCGGGGAGGGGGAGAGATTTTCCTCCCCCCCCCCCACTCTCCTGGTGCATCATTTCTAAGCACAGGGACAGCTGCTGCAAAACTGTCCTGGAGGCCGGGTAAGATTTCTTTAGTTTTAAAAGGAGTTTAGAGTCTTTGGGGGTAGGGCTTCCAGGTGTTCTCACAGGCCAGTCGCACAAGAGCATCTGGACACCCACCCCAGAAAGTGCATGCCTTCTGGGGTGGATGTGGACAGGCCCCCAGGAACATCCGTGTTTTTAAAACATGGATAGTCCTGGGATAACTGCAGGTCCGGAACGGCCTTGTGTCCACACTCAGATAATGTGGGATTTTCTGCTTTGATATTCTGGGATATAGGGCTGTGTGGAAGCCCTCTGCATATTGCTGAGAAGGAGAGACAACAGGAATCTGGATCTTTTTGTTAAAAGCAACAGTAGGTGCTCAATCGAAAACTGAGTCTGTGCATAACCCAAGGAACCAGTTAGGAATATTATGAACCAGTTAGGAATATTTATTTATTTATTTATTTATCTGATTTAATTAATGACAATTATATATCCTTCAAAAAGACAAACAAATTGTCAGTGAAATCCAGTAGCAACAGAGCAGTCCTCTATCAGGCAGAAAGGTTCCAGAGTATCCTATCGAACCCTGTTGGACTACAGGGGAAAGCGTTTTTATTTCTAAGCAAACAAAGAAGAGGGGAGGGGAAGTGATAGGGATTCATTGTGTTACAGGTGGTTCTAGCGTTGAACTGTCCATAAAGAAGGGTGTGAAGAAGCCATATGTAGTTTCCAGGCTCCATTTTGTCTTCTCTGCTGAGCAGGATTGCAGCCTCAGATTTTTTTCCCCCTTCAATACTGAAGATGAATTAAAGTCCTTCCAAATATAATATGATCCCTGTATTTGCAGATGACATGTTTGGATAGATTCATAGAACCTTGAGAATTATGACTGAGTTCCAACCAAAGTGAGATTTAAATCCTATTTATATTCTTATTTCTCTATAAAAGTTTATAAGCAAAATTGCACACTATGGAATTTATTATTTAGTAATTATTATAGTAGACAAAGGATTTGTGCAATGGATACATTTAATGAAGGAATTATAGAAAAATTAATAAAATAGAGAATTATGGCTGAAAAAACCCCAGCAGCTGAAACTCTGCATCAAGGAAAGGAAATATACATTTATGCACATGGAGGTATGCAGTGCCACTTTGCTAGTGAATGGCAATGTCAAGTGCACATGCATATCTCTATGTTCAATGAAATATGTGCAGATTCATGTGCAATGGTACTGCATGCTCTACTCCATAACTGACCACATTTCTTCCCCACTGAACAAAAATGTCCAGTGGTTTTCCATAGGAGAACTTGTTCACAGGTAGGACAATAGCAGAATGTCACCTACTGTTAATAGCAAGTTTTCATTCACAATATCATCCCCTGTTGGGGTATCAGCCAGCACGCCAACGACTTAAATCAAGAAATAGTTTTCTAAGATCTACAGAGACACTCGCTGGAACACCTCAGCAAGCGAGAGTCCAAAAGTGGCAGGCTCAAACCCAGAACCTCAATCAATGGCTGATACCAAATTAGAGACTCCCCCCTGGGCACACAGAAAACTGGCAGACTTGGAAGGTGCTGAACAGACTGCAATCTGGCACCACGAGATGCAGAGCCAACCTTAAGAAATGGGGCTACAAAGTGGAATCCACGCCATGCGAGTGTGGAGAAGAGCAAACCACAGACCACCTACTGCAATGCTATCTGAGCCCTGCTACATGCACAATGGAGGACCTTCTTGCAGCAACATCAGAGGAACTCCAAGTGGCCAGCTACTGGTCAAAGGACATTTAATCAATTACAACATTTCCAAAATTTGTTTTGTTTGTTTGTTTGTTTTTTAATGCAATACAACTGTTTGGTTCGCTCCTGACATGATAAATAAAATAAATAAATAAATAAATTCACACATATTACAGAACAAGATTTGCTGGTGACAGGTCATAGAATCTGGGGAAAAACTTTGCAAGTAGATCATAAGACACTTCACATGACAGACAAATTGCAGAATACTTCACATATAGCATAAACACAGGTAGCTAAACAATTCCACAAGAAAAAAATATGCCAGCAAAATAACTAAAATAGGATACTATTATGAAAAGAATAAGGCCAGCACAGAGGATGTGGGAATGTGGAGTTTCAACATGATTTACTTCAAAGTTTGTTGGGGAAGGAGTTAAAATAGCTTGCTCCCCTGTATCCAGAAATGTCCTATACAAGTTGCTATAAAAGAGCATAGGATGTGGTGTAACTCAGTAACAGGACACCATCTCTGGGAAACAAATAGGGATAGACCATATTAGAAATGAACAGATTCAATCAAGGAGCCATGGCCCTTAACCTGCAAGACCTGAGCAGAGCTGTTGATGCCAAGATGTCTTGAAGATCTCTCACTATAGGGACACCATAAGTTGAAGTCGACTTGACAGCAGTAAACAGCAACTAAGAGAGCATGCAATTTGAATGACAGGATGTCCAACATGCAACTATGCCTCCTAATCTCATGTCTTAACAACTCTAAACAAAAAAAAAACCTTATTGACAGAAGGGAGAAAGGTCCCTTTGCACACACACACACAAATAGCCAACCCTCCAAAGAACTTGATGACAACTTGGAAATTCAGAAAATAAATACAACATTTCCTAGTAACAAACAAAACTGAAAGAGACATTATTCCATAAAGGCAAACCACATAAGCAGTGGGAGGGGGGGACCATGTTCCTTAAGATACTTCCACGTCTCCTCTTTGCTCTGCGTGTCTTCTGAACTTTATTTCCTACTTCAACCAACGTGGCATAAAGAGTCTTGAGCATTGGAGAAGCACTCCTCTCAAGATGAACGTAAGTTATCTCATACCTCTTGAGGACATGGCTACTGTATGAATATACACAGGGCAGCCCCATCTTCAGAAGATGGGCACAATGGTGTCAGTGGCCACAACATTACAACTTCAAGAACAATGGGGGGGGGGGGGTTCCAATTTCAAACACTGCCACAAGATAGCTTTATAAAGTTGTAAATCAAATGTTTATTGAGTCTGGTGAGAGTCAAATGTGTGTGTGTGTGTATTCACACACACGTATATATATACCTACCAAGAGAGAGAGGGAGGGAGGGAAAGAGGATATAATTAAATTGCTTACCTATCACACTTTTGGCAAATGAAGCTCTCTTGAGAGTTGCCAAACCTAAATCTCCTATCTTCACAGATCCAGTTGGTCCAGTTATAAAAATATTGTCACATTTTAAATCTCTGTGAATGATTGGTGGAGTTCTGGTGTGCAGAAACAGGAGACCTTTCAAAATTTGCCGACACCAGCTACGAAGGACTTTTGGTTTCATCACTTTAAATCTTTTCAAATATCTGAAACAGAAACATATTCAAAAGAATAAAAAAAATCCTATATGCACAACATCAGACAACAAAACAACAATGAAAATCATGTTGGTGTAGAACTTTATTTGGTGAAAATTAGTATTTTTCAAACAAACTTTATGTAAAGGTGTTAGTCCTACCAATAATGTAAATTTATTAATTCAGGTTCTAAAAAACGAGCATCCTTTCCAATCTGGTTTCAGACCAGGTCATCGAAAAGAAACAGCTTTGATCACCTAGGTGGATGATCTATGTAGAGAGACTGATTGGGGGTGGCTTTTGATACCACTGATCATGGTATCCTTCTGGAAAGGCTCAAAGGGATGGGGATAGGAGGCACTGTGCTACAGTGGTTCTAGTCCTTCCTTGCAAATGGTCCCAGAAGGTGGTGTTGGGGGAGTCCTGTTCAACCTCATGGCTCAACCTGTGGGCTCATCTTTATCCCTGATGTTATTTAACATTTACCTAAAACCGCTGGGAGAGATCATCCAGAGTTTTGGAGTTCCATATCATCTGTATGAGGATGATGCCCAATTCTACTACTCCTTTTCACCTGTTGCCAAGGAAGCAGTCCTGCCCTTGAACCTTTGTCTGAAGGCAGTGATGGACTGGATGATGGTGAAAAACTTGAAGCTCAATCCAGACAAGATGGAAGTACTACTTGTGTCTTGGAGGGGGGATTTGGGAACGGCATTTCAACCTGAGCCAGATAGGGTTACACTCCCCCTGAAATCTGACGTGCAAAGTTTGGGGGTCATTCTATACTTAGTTTTAAATCTGGAAGCCCAGGTGATGGTGGTGACTAGGTTGGCCTTCGCACAACTAAAGCTTGTGAGCCAACTGTGCCTGTTCCTGGAGACTCCAGACCTGGCCTCAGTGGTGATGCATTGGTTACATCCAGACTGGACTATGGCAACGTGCTCTATGTAGGTCTGCCCTTGAAGAGTGTCTGAAAACTGCAGTTCATTCAGAAAGCAGCAGCAGGACTACAGATGGGTGCAAACTTCATGGAGCATACTACGCCTATCCTGAAGCAGCTCCATTGGTTGCCTGTCTAGTTCCAGGCTCAATTCAAGGTGCTGGTCATCACCTTTGAAGCCCTATATGGCTTCCAACTTATCTAGAGGACTGTGTCCTCCAATACATCCCAGGATGCAAACTTAGATCAAGAAGGGAAACTCAAATCAATATGCGAGCCGCCATCGGTATGTGTTTACATAACCAGAGGAGGCTGCTTCTCAGGGGCAGACTCCAACCCTCTGGAACTCCCTTCCTGAAGAACTAAAGGCTGCTCTATCTTTGCTCAGTTTTAGGAAGGGTGGGCAAGATTTTCCTATTTAACAAGGCCTTTAATTGAGCCATGGCAGGAGTTCTTATTTTATGATTGGGGCAAATGAGGGATACATGAGGGAGGAGGTTATGGTTTTAACTGAAATACAGGATTTTATTGATTGTTGTTTTATCATGGTTTTATTGATTTTGTTCACCTGATTGAAGGATTTTATTGTTTGTATTCTGTTTGTAAGCCACCCTGTGTTTACGTTGTAGAGAAAGGTGGAATAGAAATATCCTAATAAAATAAAATAAAATTACAGCCATTAATTCCAATTCTGGAGTTTTCTTTTCATTGAGAATTTATGTATAGAGTACCTTTAGTTAAGCGGGAAATTGTTTGGCAGAACTATTCACTTACTGGTATTTGTGGCATAATTTCAAGATATAATTTAATTGGCATAATACTGATATACCCTCTGCATTAAATACATTGAACAATTGTCTTGCTTTTAAAACAAGCAGTGAAATATCTCAGTGGGGCAAAAAATCTATTCTCTTAAGCAGTGAAAAGTTGTTTCCGTTGATGCCATCATCAAATTGAACAGACTTAGCAGCATCATAAAACATTAATTAGTATGATTCAGATTAATAAAACATGTCAGTTTGTTTTCAATGAGCCAAATGCTTCTTCCCCTCCTCTCCCATCAGTGATGAATTATTTTATTGTGGCTTGATAATAGATGGTATGAATGAAGAACCAATAGATTCACTGCAAAATACAAGGGGAAGAGGAAATAAGGACAGAATTGCTGATGGTTGCATAATAAAGCAACAGACTAGGACACAGTAGGAGTGAAATTTAATCTTCCATTATTTCAAAGGCAGACAGACAAGCTGTCTTAAATTAGTAGGACTACATTTCTTAACAACAGAGACATATGAGATGAAGCAAGTGAGCAATTTTTCAAAACAAGTTTGTGGATAATGCTTTTTCGTAATGCATATGATATGGTTAATACTTACGTTTTCAGGGTTCCCGAGGTCATTAATTCTGTAACTAACACAATACATTTCTTGCCTTTCAAACATGATTCCCAAAAGTCATAAAATCTAACAATGTTTGGGTGCTGAAGGCCTTTTAACATCTCTGCTTCCTCTTTAAACCTTTGCCTTTCCACTTTCGTCAGCTTTCTATCCTGTATTTAAAAAAAAAAATACGTGTTAATAGCCAGCATAACAAAACTTGGATCCAAAGATTCTGGTGCACAAGCAAAAGTCATTTCTGCTGACACAGCAGAGGAGATTCGCCCACACATTCCCCTCCCTAAATGCTGCTGAGGGATTAGTTAACTCTCTGGATGTTGTTTTGAGAACTGCAGAAAGATGCAGATAGGAGGAATGTTGAGCAACATCCCCTGTACCAGGGACGGCAAACCTTTTAGAGACCGAGTGCCCAAACCAGGGGTGGATGAAGGGTGTTACGTGTTACGTGCGAACAGGGGGTGAGCAGGGGGTGAGCAGGGTGGATGAGTGAATGGGTGGGTAAGCAGGAGTCAGGCAACAGCCTTGTGCCAGCAGAGAAGGTGCTGTGTGCCCTTTCTGGCATTTGTGCCATAGGTTCATCACCACCACTGTCCTATACAAACAAACAGACCTTTCACCCACCCAGGAGAATATTTTGATCTAAACTATTTATTTTACCATCTTGAAAGCAACCACACAACACTCAAAACAAATATTCCTACAAGGGCCAACTATGTTACAAACTCCCTGTTTTATATTGATAAAAGCAGTGAACATCATAAAACAAAGGATACATTCGTAATCTTGTAATAATGTGCACAACAGCATCTAGACAAGGTTCATAGGGGAAAATTTAGAATCATATTACAACTTCTCAACTATTATAATATATTATTAAGAAGACAGACCTTGAATTCATCTAGCTTAGGAAATTAGCATTGGAAATATGTGCAACTGACATGTTGTAGCTTGTTCGGCCCCAATCCAAGTTTTGTTTATTTTTTATATGTCTGATACCATGCTTCTACACAAATAATCCAAATTGTATGTGCACAGGCCTCTATCCTCTGGATATCAAATTATAAAATTTTGCATATCACCACCAGTAAATGCATCATACAAAATTAGACCACAACTTCTGCTTTAGCTCTGATTTACTCAACAGGTTTTTTTCAGGAAGGTACAGATTATACCTAGTACTGACTGAACCTACTCCCTGAAAGTCATGGATATTTAATCCATAATATAATAAACTTGTGACAGTCAAGATGCTTACAATATTTTTTGTTAAGAAAGGGATAGTTGCCCATCTGGCGAAGAGTGTATTTACATTACAGAATTAATGTAATTTGACTTTAACTGCCATGGCTCAATGCTATGGAATTATGGGAATTCTTTTGTCTTGACTCAGGGGCTAATTGCTCCAGTTTCCAGTTCACGATATCATTTCACAATATCATTACTCATGACAACATGCCATCAGTCACTATGATTACAGTCACTATGTTAGTGATTACAGTCACTAACAAGGCACTCTCTCTGCACCCTTTTCTGCACAAAGATTCTAAAAATGCAACAAAAGGTATTTCCAGAAAGACCGGCAAAAAGCCTCTGAACCCCTTCTCCTCACCTATTACTTATTGGTACTTTCTTTTTAAAGTAAACCATGCTGCTTAAATCAAAAAGAAGCTGAGGTCAATCTGTGTATAAGTGTGAATTTGAACAATATTCCAGACACCCAGTTCCATGATCAAGAGGGAGTATGAGCCCTGGTCTCAAGACACAGTGCAATGCTCAAATCACTACATCAAATTAGCTCTGCAGATAATGGAAATGTATACTTATACTGTTTTTGACTGCAATGCCCTTACTAAGGCTCATGCTCAAACTTCATGAACCATCCAAGGGCAAACATGTTGCTGAAGCCTAGCCAAAGTGCAAGGTCTTCCAAAGAGGCTTAAGAGCTCATCTCCTCTCTGACACAAAATGGCTCCACCTAGTTGTGGTTTGTGGCTTAGAGACTACTTATGAAAAAGAGCAAGTCAAACAACCACAAATAATGTGCCAACATGACCACAAACTACAACCTTTCTGTTTTCTGTGTGTGTTTACAAACCTTATAGATTGCATCAAACAAACATTGCCTGCAGATACTGAACTCACAAGGGACAAATATCAGAAAACTTTGAGCCCATCCAGACAGGCCTTAAAACTGAGACCTGTCTGGGTTTTTACTGGGGGCATAAAATGATGCCCTCGGTAAAAACAAATTAATTTGGAATAACCTCGGTTATTCTGAATTAATTAAATACCCTATTAGATTCAGGCCTTCCTGAAAAGCCCAGGTCTAATGGGTCATTGAGCCTGTGGCAACTCATCCCCGGGTAGTTCCAGGGATGAGTCCCTATTTGCCATCCTGACCCTTCAGGGCTTCTGGAGCCCAAAGGCCCAGAATGGCAGCTCATCTCCCCCCCCCCCCCCCAGCCCCCAAAACAACATTTAAAACTTTTAAAAACTTACCCAGCCACCATTAATGTGATCCTTGCATCCTCCTGGCATGAAGAAATGCCAGGAGTGGGGGCAGGGAGGGTTATTTGGAGGGCTTCGCGGTGGCTGCATGCCATCCCAAGGGAAGGCCCAGGTTTTTGGAGTGGCATGGTGACTTAAACCCACTTCGCCATGGGTTTAAGTGATGTCTGGAAGTGCCCAGAAAGGTAATTCTGCATTAATAGCAAAAGCCAACATCCAATTTTAGGCCATTTTTCAGTGTTTGACTCTCTTGGTGCATTTATAAATGCAGAATCAATGGAGTTTGACACCATTTAACAGGTATGGCTCAATGCTATGTAATCATGGGAGTTGCGGTTTTACAAGATCTTTAGCCTTCCTTATCAAAGAGTGCTGGCATCTCACCAAACTAGAATTAATGAGAACAATACACTAAATCAGAGGTTAAATTATACTAGCTTTACTTGGAAGTTTTTTCAGTTGGACTATAGCTCCTAGGTATAAGTTGGAAGCAGAAGTTGCAAATTTTTATTTTGATGGAATACATCTCCAAGCTATTATTAAAAGCAGTATATGGGAAAGTGTTAAAACATAACTGAGAAAAGTCTTCTCTCCTCTCCCCCATTCAAAGCAGAGTTCGGAAAGTTTAATTTCCATGCAGGGTTGTATTTTGTCATTTGTTGGAATCTGTGTTTTTCATCTGAATGACATGTTTTGAGCAACTGTGGTTTATCTATCAGCTGAATGTCATTACCAGGAGCTACTCTTGAGCCAACATTACACACGGTTCTTAAGTCTCACATTTTAGGACAGAATGTCTGAACTTCCGGCGAGCTTAATGTGAACAGCTGACATATTGATTATTTACTCAGAATTAAGGCCTTACTAAATCAATGGGATGTACCCCTAAATAATTATATGTAGGATTCCAGTCTTATCTCTCTTTTATTCAAGCTGAAAAGGTTTATATTTCTTAAATGCCATTTTTACAGAAATAAATTATGATCAAAAACAGCCTGCTAACATTTGGCTCAACTCAGAACATACTATTTCATCTAGAATGTTATGATTGGAGTTTGCCCAGCACTGTTTCCAAACTAGCTGACTGAAACAGTTTGACAAAAGGATAAATCAATTTCTAAATCATCTTAGCTAGGTGTTGCAATATTAATTTACAGTATCACCTACACAGTTTTTTCAAAGATGTATTTTTTTCTCTAACATTTAGCTTCTAGTCCCAACACTTTTCAAAATATTTCTTACGAGATTTGGAGTTCAGCTATAGACAAAGTCTTTTTCTTCCATCAGTTCTAAACAGTTTAAACTGTTCAGTGCCCAGGAATCATGACAATTGCTGCAATAATAATTCCTGCTTGGCATTTAATCACATTTTTGTATGATTTTTATGAGTATGAAGCAATATAGCAAACTATAGAGGTTATGGCAAAACACTTCAAAGGGTGTGTCTACATTTGCAACAAAATCTAGGATTGGTCCAAAATACTGCTGCTTTGAACCAGCCCTGGATTCTGCCTTGGTGTTGACCCTTCTCTACACCTGAACTGCCTCAGTGGAGGAAGAAATGTCCTCACTGTTTGGTTCAGTCATGCTGGACAATCACCCCTACCTGTGTCAATTTTCATTGCTATAGCAGCAGATATGGGGTTCCAGAGAATCCATGGTTGTTGCTTGGCACTTTTGCTAGTGTAAGTGAACTCCTTTTTTCTTTATCCTCTCCAGATTACATGAGCGCTCTTGCTTACATCAGCAATGGCACCTAGGGGTGACCATGTGGTTTTTGGCAAAAGGTGACACAGGTAAATGCCATTCCATTTTTTTCCATTCCACAGAACATGGAGAAAGTGGAGTGGTGGCACTGGCCCATGTGAACAGTGGCACCTTTTCCAAATCAGAACCAACTCAGCTGTACCCCCAAAGAAGGGTTATTGTGTCACAGTAGATGTGCCCTAATCTCACCCAGCATTATACTATACTAACCATTCCCAGTTTTATTCAAGTTCTTTATCCTTGAAGACAAATGCCTTGAGTGGACAGCTATTCCCCAAATCAAAGATGTTCTTGCCCCCAGCATCTTTCTGGATGGAAGTTCTGTACCTACTGCATCTAAAGACAATAGATGGAATTTTGCACTGCAAACCACTTCATTGTTTCTCAGATCAAGCACAATAGAACAATTATCTCTGTAGATGTAGAGATTCTTAAACAACAGGTCTGACAACCACAATTTTTTGAACAACAAAAGAAGCCTGTGAAGTCTCTCTTCACTGTACACCCTTGAAATGTCATGTATTTGGACTCTGAAGTTATAAGGAAAAGGAAAAGAAAGAAACTCTTCCATAACCTCTTTCAATGTGAACACAAATGTTATGTAAACGGTTACATTTTTAATCACCTTATAAGGCTGGCTAGCCTTTCAGTTCATTTCAGTTTGGGTTTTATCTTTACTGGGACATGAAATCTTGGCACTGAGGGACGCACCATATAATTTCTTTTAAAATAAATGAAAGCCTTTCACAGGCAGCAGAGACAGCAAATGGGTTTAAGATAAACTTTAACCTTCAAACATTCAGATATGTGGCATGAACATAATGAACAAAAAAAATCAGTACAACGGAATAAATGTATAACATTCAGGAAGATAGTT